TTATAATCTGATATGCATACAATCTTCTCTGCAGAGGAGAAAGAGAAAGTGATAGAAGAAGCTTGAGAGTAGAAGAAGATAGTCTCAGTGATATAATCATCTTCAATTAGAATAGTCTCTGACACTGAAGCAACTAAGAATCATTATTAGTGTATAAAAATTGCAAAAGTATGAATAACAATTACTGAATAAACACTTACTGGTTTTAGAATTGTACATATAATTACAACACATACAAGACTTCTCAGAAAGAGAGAAAGAGACACAGGAAAATGCAGAAAGCAGAATGCAGTATATAAACAGCTCATTCTTATAATAACATCTCAGACAAGATGTACAAGTCTTATATTTACAGATACAAAAGAGTACAACATCTGTATTTTCATTTCTGAAAACACAGATATCTTTTATCTGCATCATGAAGTCAGATAACAGATATTAGAGAATAGATTGATACAGATCTATTATTCTGAAGAAATTTATCAGAATAGATATCTCTACAATATTAAACTTTACAGTTATGAAAAGCTTCTTAATATCTGTGAACATCATGACTTTGTACACAGTAAAACTTATAACAATTTTCTCTAAGAACAGAAAAATCAGTGTTAGAAAGAAAAGATGAAAAAGAAAAAAGACTTATAATCTTAACACTGTTGAAGAGAGAAATGATTCTCTGATATAAATAAATAATTATCTTATTATAAATATTTAAAATAAATGTAATAATCAGCATCTGTAACTGAGCTTCAGATAGTCATATTATACATCATCTTTATATAATAAATTGTTCTAGAGATTGATAAGAAGAGTGAAAGTATACATACTGAGAAACATGATTTATCAAGTCTATATAATATCTTCTTGAAACAGAGAGAGCTGATAATGAAAGCAGAGATAATAACATCAGAAGTGATAGAAGTGAGAGTCATGAGAACAGAAGTAGCAGAAGTGAGAGAATCAGACACAGAGATAAGTGTAGAAGATTGAGAGAGAGTAGCAGAGAAAGAAGTGATAGAAGAGATAAGAAGAAATGCAGAAGACTCAGTCACATATAATACAGATAATTTCTTCATTATTACATTCTTCAAGTTCTTAATTAATAATTCAACACTGAGTTCACTATCATTGATAGACATGAATCTGTCAATATATGAAGATTCTATATAAATAAAAACAATATATCAGCATCTACATTCATGTAAAATCATGTCAGAAAACACAATTAGAAACCTGCTGAGAAGGAAACAGTTAAGAGTGTATAAGAAGATAGAGAAGATATATCATTTATAATAGTATATTCTAGTGATTGTTAGAAGATAAACAAGTTCTGATTATATTTCACAATGCATTACACTTACTGCTAACAAACTACTCAGTATAGACACTATAAGAATGCTTATTATAAGAATAGAAAGTCATCATCAGAAACACATATAATATAATAGATGAACAGATGAAAAGAGTTAAATAGAAGAAGAAGTAGAAATCTTGAATAAGATAATAGTATTCAATAATGATGATGATAAAGATAATAATTGAAGAATGAGAAAAGTTAGTGAATAAGTAATATAATATAGTGAAAGTCTCTTTATAAGAATATACACAGAATGCTAGCTGAATCAGAGATAGATTATATAATTATAAAATACTAGTAATAAGCTAATCTGTATGAAGCTAGAGTGTATAATATAATTATATAAGTGTGACTGAATCTGATGAGAGAGAATGTAATTTGAAAGAATGTATAACTATCAGATAATAACACAGTCACTTCTAAACTACTAGTATATAAATGTAAAAAGAGGTCATAGCAGTCACTAATTAATTTAGTGTATAATATTACAATATATAAGAAGTCAGTGTATATATGTTATTATTATTATTATTATTATTCTTTCATTATACTTATATACAAGCGGAGCTTATAATGAGTTCTTGTGTGATGTTAAATACAGGTCAAGTGTTGATTATACAGGAGGAAATACAGGTGTTGAGACCATGTCAAGATAACAAGAACATAGGAAATACAAAGAAGTGACAATTAGGTACATGCGATAATAACTTCCCAGCCCAGGAACATAGAGTGATTTATTGAAGTGATTTGTACACCTCTGTATTTATTAGAAACCTGAGGTGCTTGAGTTCTGAATTTAATGTATTCTCTGCGGGTTTCGAACTCACACACCTTGGTTTCCCACGCCAAGGCGCTACTGAGTGGCCGCATTAACCATTCAGCCACTGAGGCAGTGTATATATGTAATTGTACACTGACTTAAGCAATCTTTGAATCACATATAATTATATTATTCTTATTATAAGAGATACACAGTTAGTAATAAATATTGTAAAAACTTTAAAAAGTAAGTATTTTAAGAGTACTATAACTCTATAATTTTAATTTTTTTTATTTTTATTTTTTATTTTTTTCTTTTTCTTTTCTTTTTCTTTTTTTCTTTTTCTTTTCTTTTCTTTTTTCTCTTTCTCTTTCTTTCTTTCTCTTTTTTTTCTTTTTTTTTCTTATTATTGTTTTATTTTTTATTTTTTATTTTTTTTATATTTTATATTTTTTTTAATTAAATAATATTAATTATAATCTGTATTTAAAAAAGTAATGATATTTAATAACACTCTCTATTAAATTTTCAACAAATGAGTACTGTGTTATAATATTATATAAGTGAGAAATGATTTTATAATCTTATTTAATATTATTTTCAATAATAAGATTAGAATGAAAATGTAACTAAGAATTCAAATATATTCTTTATCTGAGACTAGATTTTTATTTAAAAAGTGAATCTGAAATCTTTAATATTTGAAATAATGTAATTTGAGATTAATATAATAAATACAAATCATAATCAGAAGTAATGCTTTTAGACAATATAATAACTATAAAGTTTAATTCTGATCTTAGACACGGTCACACAGTCAGTCTAATACTGATAAAATAAGACAATTTTAACACCTAATAAATATATTAAATAAAGCAGTTAAAATAATAATTATATTGATAAGAAATTCTGAATTAGCAGTATTTGTGTGTAAAACAGATCTTATAACCTATAAAAGATGTAAAGCTTGCTTGATTGAAAAGATTGCTAGCTTGTGAGAAGTTATATAGTGAAAGGATTAATAAGCCAGGACATGTAACCTGACATCTCACATCATTTGTCACAGAATTTCATTACCACATTAGAACTGTATATTATTTTCGATTTTTCTTTAAATAGTTTCGCAAAAGGGATTCTCATTTCATTTTCAATGAGCATACACATCTGTTTTCAGACTTTCCATTGCCCCCACTTTATTTCTTGCGTATTTATTCATTACAACATGTATATTTTGTTTCGCTCCAGAACTTTTAGAAGTCAGCATCATCCTCGTCGGGAAGAGGCATCTGGGCAGCTTGTCTCATCTCCTCCTCGGCGGCGGCGATCGCAGCCGGATCAACTGTTGCCTCAGGTGGTGCGAGTGCAATGTCGGCAACGAATTCCTGTTGAGTTTGAGGGGATTAGAACGACGTATATATCTCACTAGGGCTATAATTTGGGTGGGTTCTAGAGGACTTACCAGGCCAGGGTTGCCAACGAGCTTTCTGGCGAGCCACAGGAAGGGCTTCTCGAAGTTGTAGTTGGACTTGGCGGAAATATCGTAGTACTGGAGATTCTTCTTGCGGTGGAAAGTGATGGTCTTGGCCTTCACTTTTCGCTCTTTAACGTCGACCTTGTTACCGCAGAGGACGATGGGGACATTTTCGCAGACGCGAACGAGGTCACCTGGATAAAAAATGAGTTTTCCAAACCAGAAGATAAAGATGTTTCATCACTATGGACGTGCTACAAAACAAAGAAGTAAAATACAATAAAAAGGGAATATCTGGGGAATACTTACGATGCCAAGATGGGACGTTCTTGTAGGTAATGCGGGAGGTGACATCGAACATGATGATGCCACATTGGCCGTTGATATAGTAACCATCTCTCAGACCACCAAACTTTTCTTGTCCGGCAGTATCCCACACATCGAACTGGATGGCGCCCAGATTCTAGATACCCCCCTCTCATTCTTCTTGTTAGATAGTTGCGATAACCGAAAATAGATTTGACAGGCGAAGGAAGTGAAGGCTGGAGAGATCGATGGGGGAGCGTGGCGCACCGTCTGAAAGTTGAGAGGGTGGACTTCAACACCCAAAGTAGCAATGTATTTCTTCTCAAATTCACCAGTCAGATGGCGTTTTACGAAGGTAGTCTATTTTCAACGGAGGAGAAAAGCGGTAGGTTAGCAAAGATATTCCTGTAATATATTGTTCATTTTTCTTGGGTCGATGATTTGGGCGTTGTTTCGTCGTCCTGGAGTGGGACATGTTGCTACGGAGGGGTAGCGAGGGGCTAGTTTCGCCTTTGCGAAGGAGCCAAAGAGGCCTCCGTTTCCAACTCCCCAACGCGTAGATGACAAGGGACGTGGGAGGTGAAAGGGTGCTTTTCTTGATATCCTTACCTTGCCGGTACCGCCGTCACCGACGAGGACGAGCTTGAAGGTGGGTGGAGCTTGCTGCGCGGCCATTTTTTGTTGATGAGAAATATAGGAGGGGTTTTTTTCTAGGAGGGGAAAACCAAAGGGAAAACAACAGAACAGAAAAGAAAAGAAAAGCGTCAGTCGCCCTTCTGCTAGTGGAGAAACAGAACAGGCAGGCCAGATGAGAGGGAGTGTGTCTGTCAGTCAAGGGGCGTATGCGTGGTGATGATATAGGATGATGATGATGATGCTGGGGGGGAGAGGTCGAGGAGAAGGCGATGATGGATGGGGCTTGTTGTTGTCTAGCGGGCGAGGGAAAATAAAATAAAATAAAATAAAATAAAAAAGAAAAGAAAAAAGAAAAAATTGGCTGCGAGAAACGAGAAACACGGAAACAAACAGGCTGCAAAGGGAAGGCGGTGAACTGCGCGCCAGGCAGAAGGTCACGTGGTTGATTCGCAAATCTTTGCTTTGAATTTCTTAATTTCTTTATAACAATTATTCATAACTAAGGGTAATTATTATTAGAAACTTACTGCTTGACCTTTTTTCTTTGTTGTCAACCTATTTAAATCATGGCCTTGGGTTTGTTTTCACTATCTCTGTTTGTATGTTTTGTAGCCCTTGTCTGGAAGGTTAACTATGTATACTGTAGTGCCTCCTTTCAAACTGTGAATTCTGCTTTCTTGTTGCTTGACATAAGGGGAATAAAAGGGGGAAATAGAGGAAAACATTGATTAGAATAGAATTCGAGGAGGAAGAAGTAGTAGTAGCAGCTATGAAAACTAAATTAAACAAAAGAAGAAAATGAAACAAAGAAAGAGAAACCAAAATCAGGCAAGCTCGTTTAAATTCATACAGCGCATTAAAATCATATCGAGTGGTCCTTGGGAAAATAGCCTGTACTCCAAATAAAAAAAAAAAAAAAAAAAAAAAAAAAAAAAAGCCCGGTGAAGTCCAGTGAACTCTCAGCTCTGCACCAGACCAAAGGAAGAGATAATAACAGAAGCAAAAAAAATGGAATGTTAAAAAGAAAAAAGAAAAAGGAGAGCTCTGGTAATTGCAGAATGTACCTGCCAATTTCCGCCTTCTCATACTAACACAATATGGCACCCCAGCAAGCCTAGACCCCCCCAGTTCCGGCGGGGGGTAAGCTGCACAGTGAGGTCTTTCATCTCACCAGATTCATCTTTCCGAACGAGCTTAACCAGGATGGTTTTCTAAATAAAACGAAAGGTATGTTAGCGCAGGGAAGAGCAAAAAAAAAAAAAAAGAAAAGAAAAAGAAAAAGAAAAAGGCTTAAACAAGTGTCAAAATCCTCTCCGTGTGGGGGTATATAGTTTAACAACTAAATGAAAGAAAGAAAGTAAAATAAAATAAAATAAACAACATACCCCTTCATTCCGCCGCACAACCTCCGCCACTTTCGTGAGGTTCTCATGATTCATCCAATTAACGTGTCCAACGCTGCGGACTCTGTCTCCCACTTTAATCCCCGCCTGCGCTGCAGGGCTCCCGTCGGCTACGTTATTAATCTTTGCAAATGGTGTCTCTATAATCCCCGCTTGTGCGCTGCTGGTGGCTGAATCTTCGACGGAGGTTGTAGAGGTCCACGTTGATGGGGTAGAGGTTGTGGTTGTTGGAGGGCAGTTTGCGTTCTGTTGATCACGGAGCCGGGCGAAGCCTTCGTGGACGCCCTGTTCGACCCTCGCCATGACATCCTTGTAGTCATTCCGTAGGTGGATTATTCGCGCTCGTGTCGTGCGGACTGTGGGCGAGGATTTAGTTTAGCATTTGTTCTAATTCACTGTTATATTTGTTTGTTTCGTTCCCCCTGTCATCTTCCGTTGTCCATCGATGGTGGAGAGGAGACGTACTCTGCGCAATATCCAAATCGTCCCGGGGGTATCCATCGAAAGTAGTCAGGCTCGTTAACATAGTAACTCCATGCTACATCAACCGCATATAACGATTAGTTCTAGCGACTCCTACTTCACTGTCCAGTGGTCAAGCCCATTCTGTGGAGGGGCATATTTGATTTTCAGAACGACAAATGCTTCTACCAGAAGAAAGGGGAAAAGCCAAGAAGAAAAAGAAAAACAAAAGGAGATAACATACAGAATCAAGCACACTGCTAAGTTCCCGAAACTCCGCTTCCAGGCGTTCCTTTTCATCAAAAAGCTCGTCTAGAGACAAGCTCGACAGCTCGCGACCATTTCGCGTTGGCGCGGAGGTGGGGCCCGAGGCCAACGTGGGTGCATGAATGTCGTCGTCCATTGGAATGCCCATTTCGAGGGGTGGATTTTCAGGCTCTATCCGTCAAGACCTCATGGCTATGATTCTGGGACGAAAATTCGTAGAGCGGGAGGAAAAGAAGAAGAGTTGGCTTTGTTGCGGGGGTGTGTTTCGGGAGCAGACTCTCATTATTGGATTGGAATGCGGGCAACAAGCCAGATATTTATGTGATTATGTAAGTCTGATGGATTGCCAAGAGCCGGGTCTTCGCGGTATCTACAACTGAATCTTCGGGGAAGAAAAGGGGAGACGGGGAGACTTTGGAGGCGGGCAACGCATATACACACATATATTGCGTTGTCTCCTTTCGTCTGCTCTATAAAGTGAGTGGTTCTGGTGACATCCAAGAGCGTGTGTGCCTGTCTGTCCCCTCATACATAACCTGCCTGGTGTGGAAGAACAGAAATGCCAGTCCACATCTCTACAGCGTATGCGTACATACACATACCTATAAGGTATACCTATAGGTAATGTCTACTACGAGCATACCCCTCACTTGCAAAGTACGCTGCATACGTATGCTTTGGCTGTTTCTTAAATCTAGTTCTCAGTTTGCAAGAATGACCCGAAAACCCTTCCAGCTGTGGCTTCCTCCATCCGTGCTGTTTACTGCCGTCATACGTTGGCAGTTTCGCCTATATATACTTTTTTTTTTGTCGCGTCAGCCTCGTGTATCTGATAGACTACGTCTTCTTATCATTCACTCCTTGCAACAATCCATCCAGTTGCTCCCACATTTCTCTTTCTTTCCCCCAAGCTATTCGCTTGGGTTCCATGTCTAAATAGCTAGACCTTGCCCATGGAATCTATTGGAGAGAGCATGGAGGAAGATTCTAAGAGAAAGTCTTTTGGAGATCAATCCTCCATATCAGAGCCTACTGCAGTCCCTGTGATGCCAGCTGCCAATCGGGACTCCCACAGCTTCAAACGATGGATAAGGAGCATGCGGAAGAAAAGAACGCCAAACTATGACGGCCCACCACGCTATGTTGTGGGGTGGCCTGACGATGAGAGTGAAGACGAGAGTTACAGGATGTTCCCCTCACTCTACCAAAGCCAGCCAGACCAGTCGTCTACTGCGTCCTCGTCCAATTTGATGACAGTCAAAACGGCCAGCCTTGGAAGCTTAAGCTTGCTGACCCGCCCGCGAACAAATACGCAGACAAGTACCCAGCGAAGTGCGTGCCACAGCAGCGCCTTTTCTGGGTCAGATGCAAGGGTATCTATGGAGAGCAACAAACTGACATCAACGCTGTCTCTGGATGAAGGTGCATGGAACCGTGCTGTCCAAAGACGACAGGTAATAAGGGAGATATTGGAGACAGAGATCACATATCTTGCGGCGCTAAAGGCGCTTGCAGAGGTATGTTGACTATGCTAAGCCGCCTCGAATATACTTGAGTTGGAATACTAATGATTTCAAAAAGGTTCTGACCACGCTAGGAATAACTGAGACTGCACTGCAGCGGAGCACACTCGATCTTATCGGTTTACACGAAGATCTCCTAATCAAGTTGGAGGACGCGATGCCTCGGTCAGATAGGGTCGTCACCCCAATATGGACGACTGCGCGCCGGCATATTAAGTTTGGCAACGTGGACGCTAGCCTGACGAAAGCAAGCCGGAAGTCAGTGACCACAAGAAAGCTGCGTGAACCTGTCGATTCCCGGATTAAGTCGTCCAAATCGGTGGCAGCAGAACCAAACGAGGCTGCTATGGTGGCTAGGATAATGCAATCAATGGTAAAACCTATGACTGCTTACGCCTTTTTGCCTGTTTATCATTTTTTTTTTATCATAGGCTAACACATCCCATCCTGCTATAGCTTCCACAGTTTAAAGTTTATGAAGACTATGGCGTCAAATACCAACTTGTATTCAAGGAGATAGACCTGTTACGCAAGTCAATAACGAGTTGGCAGGCTTTCGATCACGGGATTGAAGCTCTCTTGAAAAATGTGGTTTCCACTAATACTCGTGAAGCCATATCTAACCAATGTTTTACTCTTGGTGACCTCCTGATGAAGGTGCGTGTCCATTGCTGATTACGTGAGCGTTGGCAAAGATTGCTGCTAACAACCACATTCGATAGCCAATCCAACGGGTTTGCAAGTATCAACTATTCCTTGCTGAACTGCTCAAGAGCACACCTGTTGCCGATTGTCCTTCCTCCCACGCTATAATCGAGGGGGCCTTACAGCGGACACTTTCAGCATCACAGGACATAAATCGTGCTACGGGAGATCCAGTCGCCAAAGATAGAATTCGGAAATCTATGTTGCTAGGAGAGAGACTCGATTTTGCGAAAAAGGTATGGAATCTCGTTCTGATCTATACGAACATACAGTTGTTTCAGTATTGATTTATTTTATTAATTAGGGTGACCGCAGTGTGCTCCACGACTTTGGGCCTATCAAGTTGTGTGGAGCTCTGCATGTTACGTATCAAACCAAAGACAGCGTCACTGGTGAATATATGCTTTGTTGTCTATTTGGTAAATACTTCCTACTCGCAACCCCATGCGAAGACAATCGGAAATTCAATGCTGTTGCAGTAATTCATATTCCAGGCGCCAGCGTAGAACCTGCGGACAACGGTATAGGTGAGTGGTGGCAATTTGTGATATAGTAAAATGCTACAAAAGAAACTAATTGATTCTAGGCCTCCACTGTGTTTATGCACCTTTTTCTTGGAAATTGGTCTTCGAGGCGCGGAAGCAAACTTTTGAAATAGTATTGACTGGATGTTCTGAGAGAGAGGCTTCCCGCTGGAAGGACCACCTTATGAGACAGTCACTAGCTGAGACGCATAACTCGTTGGATGAAAATATCATTATGCAGAAATACTCCACGACCCGGCTGGCTATGAAACCACTTTCCGCAGCCGTTTTTGATAGGCAAGTACACAAACTTAGCCGTCGTTCATCCATCCACGGTTCCTTGTTCAGCGCGCCTTCGCACCCAGATTGCGTTCGCCTTCTCATTAAAGGAACCCAAGCGGTACCCCATGACAACCATACCAGATCATCCACTCTTGGGAGATCACAATCCCTCCAATTAGCACGCCAGTCTGTTGTTCTCGCCCCTAAGCGGCAGGACAGAATTCGAATGGAAAAATCGCTTTATGATGTTTGGACGTGTGACGTTCTTCCATATCCAGGAATGCCGGCCTGGAGAGGAGAGCACTTGATACGCTCATCCGCAGAATCTTTTATTAGAAGACTGAGTTCACGACGGCCGTTCACAAGGCGATCCAGCAGTCTCGCGACCACGATCACAACGAAGTCCGTTGAGCGTACTATTACATGCAAAGAGGACATCTCCTTCTGGGACTACATCGGGCATACGGAAACCGTTTCATCCTCGATGAATTCCGCTAGAGCTCATGAGATCGTTCATGAGGAAAAAGATGATTTCGACTGCCGTTCGTTTGGGGTTGTCGACGCTCAGCAACAGAAAGCATCCTCGAAGGGACGGGCAGAGAAAAAAAAGGCAAATAGTCCGTTCGGGAGCGAACGTAACAAGCCATCGCTCAGGAAGAGATGGAGCGTTTCCATTTTCAAGACGAGCACCCCAGTTGTACCTACCATGACCTGTTGATTCTGTGCTTTTCCGCTGGGATTTCCTGGATGCCCGAATGTTAGGTACGTAATAGTAATATACTTGTACGGCACATAAGTTTTATAGTCCGTATCATGGCTCAAGAGTTAAGGGAGGCGTATTGGGCGGATGGAAGGAGATAGAACAGCCCATAGACAGGGGGAAAGGGGTAGTGTTCATGATGAATTGGTTGGTGGGTGATGGTGGGATTATAATAAATTCTTTATATAAATTCATGGCTTTCGCATTTTAAGGGGCACCCATTGCCAAACGAACTAACTAGCTAATTGCCTGCCTGGCTAAAAGAATGAAATGACAAGAACCATCTGGAACAATTGGGTTATGACGTATCCAGGATAACCAAGTTTTTCCGCGTTAATTAGTTTGTGGATTGTTTCCCCCCAAGTGCCACCGCCCAGCTCTCTTTCTCATTTACTGGGCGGGGCGGAACCGGCGCTAGAAGCGTTGGCCGATGACGTCGTTGAAATCCAGGAGACGGGGCTAGGCGCTGGGGAGTGACATCAGCGCTGGCGGGCATTCTGCGGGCGGAACATGTTGTATTTATTGTATTTATTTACCTATGATATATGTATGATATATTATATGGATATGGGCTGCATTTTCCTTGACTTCTCCCAACCACAATAAAAAGGAATATCCCAAAGCTCTCGAAACGAAATATAGCTAGCTAGCAATCTAAGCTCATCTCTTTTGCTCTCTCAATTGCTCTATAACTCACACGCAACTCTACTGCTCTCTACCATACCTTGCCACATCACACTATTGCTATTTAACAGCGCTTTGCTGCACAATAACGGAGAAAAGCCATTGGGATTGTAATACGATATTATTAGCCTTTGGGGAAATCAGGAAATAATCCACCCCCCGGCCTGCTTTTTGTGAGTAATGACCCTTCCTCCCTATCGGGCAAATCAAACGCCCTCCCTTCCTTGGGACTATATATATATAGCTAACCCCATGGCCCACTAGATATATACTTTCAATTCAGACAATTCAACTTACCTTCCTCGCTTATATACATCTATCACTACTAAATTCAAACACTTGTCAAAATCAGCAGAGCCAAACCAAACCAAACCAAATCAAGCCACCAAAAAGACAGCAATCATGACTCGCGGAAACGTCGGTATCTACAAAGTCTTCTACAAAGGCGACAACGATGACTTCCTCGTCTTCATCGACGATGTGCAGGCGCTGAAGAAGTGGAAATCGGACAGCTCGACCCCGATGGCGCAGGTCGTGAGTGGGTTTCAGGTGTTTATTACGCATCGGTATGTTCGGATTTCGTTTTTCGGATTTTCGTTTTTCGTTATCACTATCCCCGCTTTGGATCCCTGCTTGTTTATGTTATTGAGTAGGATGTTATTGTTTCTTTGGCTGCCGTTGAGAAATTCCATTTCACTGATTACTGACTGACGCTGGCCCCCCTTCTTGTGTGTTAATAGACAAGGCGCCCAGGGCATCCATGACGTTGCCAGCAATGCCATTCTGCACGCTGAGTTCGGGACGGAGGATAAGGTTGCGTGCATCAAGAAGATCTTGGAGGCGGGTGAGGTGCAGGAGTCGGAGGTATGATATATACTTGCACTATCTTTCTTTCTTTCTCTATCACTCGTTTTCTCTCTCTCTCTCTCTCTCTCCCTCTTACTACCTATCCGTTTGAGGGTACAAAAAGAGGGGAAACCCAAGAAACGAACATGGAATTGAGAAGAAAACTAACATGTGGGACATTCAAATCTATTAGAATCCCCAACGTTTCGGATCAAAGAATGACTCCATGGGTCCACGCGTTAACCACTAGTGGGTAATGGTTTTGGGAGAAAAAAAAAATTCACTTCGCCCTTCAAATCTGGAAGAGTAACACAGACAAAGACCAGATTCACCGTGGGTTAAATAAATAAGAGAATTCGACGAGATTGGAGAGTGGAAGGGGACTTTTTTGACTCCATTCTCGGGCTAGCTGTGTTATGATATAATTTGTTTAGCTTTTTTTCTTCCCTTTTTTCATGAAGCGTTATGTGTATGTATAAAAATTATATATATATATATATATATATATATATATTATGAAGAAATTAAATGGATTTGATTGAAGCCTAGTTAAACGAGCGGGGTGGCGGGGAGGCGGGATGGCACTTTCAGGCCTTTTCCCATTCCCTCCCCGGCCCACTGCCCTTGATAAGGTCCATACCATGTCTGTTTCTGTGATCGTACATACATGCATACAATTTCGTTCAGCGGATTCGTTGTTTTTAACAAGAATAATGACTTGGTTTCGTATCTGTACATCCCTGGTTAGAAATGGAGTTGTAGATGTATTTGTACGCAGCGTAGGGAGGATGAGGACGGCAGGGCATTTCAAACAACATCAGGGCTCTAGACAGTTTTGTGTTAAGTTCAATCATTGACGTGATTTAGTTGCAATCATCATGTTCGGCAGCGCAAGCAATGCCCAGGGGCGTGGTGAATCATGATAGTCAACATAGTCAACATAACAACAACGTTTTTTGAAGGCCAAAGCACCTAGAGACGAGTGAACGGCGGTTGGGTGGAAGAATGAGGCAAGATCGTATTCAAACGAAATTAAATTCAATAAGTTCGAAAAAAATTACAACGGCATGGTATTCTCCATGTTAGGAATGGCTCACGGTCGAGCGAGATATGATGGATGGGGGAGGTCTTTCATGAAAAACAGGGGTATTAGAGAATTAATTCCGCTTTCCACTACTCAAGGTTTCTTGGATCTTTTCACCGATCATGTCGCCAACTTTTCCCATAACCTTATCAGCCATAGATTCTAAATGAAGTGAAATAGAGTCAGTCAGTAAATATACAAGAAAGCATTATTCAGTAAGAGGAGAACACCGGCAAAAAAGGATGTGTGCGTGAGGATATGAAAAAGTAGAGTTCCGAACTGTGTCTTCATTAACCTACTTGAACCCCTTCTAAATTCAGTACTCACCCTTCTTCTCTCCAGAGCCACTCCTATCTCCATATTTATTAGAGGACTTCGACCCATAAGTATCGTTGTCATCATCGTCACGCTTGCCGGAGCCGTAGGTAGAGCTCTTGTTTCGATCGGAAGAACCGTAGGAGTTGTCATCACGACGGTTAGTGTTGGACCCATAAGTACTGGTAGTAGTAGTAGTAGTAGTATAGTCATCGTCGCGCTTGGTGGAGCCATAGGTAGAGCTCTTGTTTCGATCAGAGGAGCTGTAAGACTTGTCATCATCACGACGGTTGGTGGACGACCCGTACGAGGAGCTGCTCTTCTTGTTCAGGTTATCGGAGCCATATGAATCGCTTCCCTTGCCCGTATTTCTGGAGGATCCGTAGGAATCATTGTCATCCCGTTTGCTGCTGTTATAGCTGCTATTGTTATTATTGCTTCCGCTATTCCCAGTGGAGCCGTAGGAGCTCTTGTTTTTATCGGAAGAGCCGTAGGAATCATTATCGCTCCGCTTGTTGCTGCCGTAGCTATCATTTTTGTTTCCAGAGGAGCCGTGGGAGCTCTTGTTTTTATCCGAAGAGCCGTAAGAATCGTTTCCTCCAGTACGCGTAGAGGAGCCATACGAATCGTTGCGGTTGCTGGATCCATGGCTGTCGCTGCCAGCGCCAGCTCGGCCGGAGGAGCCATAGGAGGACTCGTTGCCGCGGTTGCTGGATCCGTATGTGTCATTGCCACCAGTTCGGCCGGTAGAGCCGTAGGAGTCGTTGCCCTTGTTGGAGCTGTAAGAGTCGGTGCCCCCGGTGCGGTTAGAAGAGACGTGAGAGTCATTGTCGTCACGTTTGTTAGAGCCATATGTGTCAGTTCGGCCCGAAGAGCTGTACGAATCGTTGCCCCCAGTGCGGTCGGAGGACCCATATGAATCATTGTCACGCCGGGTGCTGCTGCTGTTGTTGTTGCCCCCGGAGCCATAGGAGCCGGTTACACCGGACCGACCTGATGAGCCGTAGGAATCGTCATTATCCCTGCGGTTGGAGGAGTTATTGCTATCCTCATCACGACGGGAAGTAGACTGGTTGGTGTTAGTGAACGGTGACATTCTACTGCTAGAAAGGTATCCAATTGGAATTTCAAAGGATTGGCCGGCAGGGAACATGATATTGTGATCTTACTCCGCCGTGGCCGCTGTTTCCATGGGCCTTGACGGATTGTAAGAGGGTTGGACTGCGGGAACCAAACGGGTGCAGGATGTATCACTCACGTAGCTGCCACTGCTGTTGTTGTAAGACATTTTGAAGGGAGTCGAAGGCGAGAAATAGAGTAAATGTGAAATAACTGAATTGAAAATAGAATCAATTGAAGCTGAGAAGATTTTAAACACTTTGTATGCTAGAAAATGCGTTGAAGGAATATAAGAAGACGCAGACGGAGCCGAAAGACAAACGTGGCTGAAGCAGATATTTATCCTTTTCCCAGGATAACACACTCGATCCGCTGCTGAGGGGTAACCCATTGACACAAGCAGCATCACGGAAATCGCTCCTACAATTATCGCCACCAGCTAGCAAGCAGCTGGCGTTCAAGGAGGGGCATTATTCAACATGGCTAGCTGAATCTCACTAACATCATGCCCAGTTGCAGCGACCTTCTGCATGAAAACGACGGCCGAAAATATGCAAGATGAAGACTACGATCTCAGTCCCGCTTGGTAGCGGGATCTGAATGGCCACACCTGGTGTAAACACTGTAAACACAGCCCAGGAAACCTGGAATTGCAGTTTGAAGGACTCCAGCTAGCGAAGCCAACAGCTCAAAGACTTCATAACACTGGGGCTCCGCTTGATAAATGGCCCAATTGAGAGACTTGATCTCAATCACGCTGGGCAGGCCCGCTAGGATCGATGGTCTAGCCCGCAGCGGAGGAAGTTGGCCCCAAGGGCTAAGGCAGGACGCGCCTTCAAGAGCAACTTGTGTTGCAGCAAAATGCGGGCTTCAAGTTGGAGTGAGGGTCAACTGTCAGCGCAAAAGCGTAAGCTGTGGTGGTGAGCTCATGATTGTCGTTCCTGTCGCTGAAGCGTAGCAATTGTACTCTGTATTGTAGGCGGTGATGTAGGTGTAGGTGTTGGTTTGCGCGCCCCCGGTGGAGTTTTTGATATCAAAGTCCAAAGTCCCAAGCCATTCTCCACTCAATCCTCACTAGCGGTGGCTGTGGGATTTTCACCAGCCTCAGCTAGGGGCAATTCCAGGCGAACAGCAAGACGGCAAAGGACATGAGGAACGCGTTGCGTTGACTAGTAATAACCATCGCGCGGGTGGCCATAACTGTGACAAAGGTGGGACAACAAGATGTCCAATTAATTATGTGTGGTCTTTTCAATCTCCGTCCAATGCCTCCCGCTGAAGAGCTGATGGAATTGGGGTTCTGTGTTGCCGTTCCCCGATTCCCTAGAGTATATAACTAGGTGGTCGGTCATTTTGTTAGGCCCTATATATAATAATAATGTCCCAAGAACTCTCTGTCTTTTATATGACTCGCTCTCTCAGCCCAAGGGAGAATGCTCAATATAAAACGCTTCGCAACCTTCATGAGATTCTGACTCTGACATACATAGATCTCGCGGTTTTATCTCTAAGTAATATATTACTTGAGAACAACTACTTTTTTCATATACTCTTCTTGAGTTTCAAAAGCATGTGTAAAGTTATTACTTAACTAGTTAATTCAGAAGCGGTCTAGATTCCTTAAATTATCCAGAAGCTAGAAGTTTAAAAAAAACTAATGTGAATATTCATTTCTTTTCTTGACACCTCTCTATGCTTTTTGTCTTCAAAGAAAGATGAGCATCTCAACTCAATATTACCCTTGAAAACCATTATTGTCAAGTTCAACCTCTCAAAATGGCACAAAATCAGATAAATAGAAAGAAATGGTGGTAATTTTGACAAAAAAAAAAAAATTGCGTGAGATTTCAGGTTTCATCCATGTCCACCGAAACAATACCAAGATGTACCAAGCTGTCAACATGGTGAATTTGGAATACCAGAGCAAATCCTCCCCCCTTTCCTTACTTTCGCTCTTAAGATATGACACGGGGCCAGCTTTATGCAGTTCCTGTTGCTGCAACCTTTGTAACTTAGCCTCAAACAGCTGCGACTCCTTAATGGAGATGGAGACACGCCTCAAATGCTGAGAGAACATAAAATCGATAAATTGAATCTCTGTGTGGTTAGGTTCATCGATCTTGTGGTGATGTCTCTTTTCTTAAAAGAGTCCGTTGTATTTGAATGAAAACGAAGGGAGGCTGCGGGTAAATATAATAGCAAGAACAAAGCACTCGGGGGCTCAAAAGAGTTATTTTGTGGATGGTCACATAGGATCATTCCTCATATCTAGGTGCATCGCTTAAAAGCATCAATGGAAGAAGAGTGTTTGCGCATGTGCACGTGAATAAAGAGTAAGTACAGGACATTTTTCTTTTGCCCTTGCCTCGATGTCGTGAATCAGAGCATGCTGAGAAAAGGGGGAAATGGGAGGAGACGAAAACCGCCCGATGGCTACATATATCCAGCCGTGGTCCCTAAATCTTGGACAAACCTGAGTTGGACTCAAATCCTTCCGGTGAAAGTTTGGCAGGGCAAAAGTCAGATAATACATGAGCACCATGACTTAAGATGTAGAGGAAAGATTAGATATCGACTTCAATATTTACGAAAAAAGACATGATAGATACGAACGTCGTCCCAAACCAGTCCCTGAATCGTAGCTAGCTTTTTTTGAGATTGGGGGATTGAAGAACAAGGAAGACAACAGCAAATAAAAGCAATGGATATAGAGGTGAAAGGTATTAGAGTAGATAGAGACATATATGCGTGTGTACTGAGAAAGGATTTTCACAAGATTCTTATGTGATTATCACATAGATTTATTCTACATCATTCAATCTGAAGAGTTTCAGTTGATCTGGAGATGGAGCGCTCGCATAACAACATGACTCGAGGAAAAGAAAAACGTCCATATAGACAACACAAGTAGCTCTTAAAATATGAGTAGCTTTCGTATTAGTGTGACCTGGTTGGCGGTCATTTTCATATTTAACAGCAAGGTTCACGTACCAAGTGGACAGCAAAACGGGCAAAATTGAGCAGATCAGAAATGCTCCTTCCAAAACTTGAACCGGACTTCATTAGTGGCACAGTCATGGGCGGCCTTCTTGATCAACTTAGCTGCCGGATTGGGCCCACAAAAGTAGACACCGATATCCGTCCGCAATGAAGCGTCTAATCCGGACATATAAGTTTGATCAATCAGGCCGTTCCGTAGAGCTGTGAAAAATCTCGTAAAGTCTGGTCGGCCGAATTTGGTCCCTGTCCGCAATTCTGTGAGTGGATCTATGTCGTGACCGACGGAGTTGAGGTAGATATTGGCGGCGGTATCTTGGTCAAATCGTTGTGTGAGGTAGGTGTGGATACGCAAGAACTCTTGACCATCGCCGGCCTCTGCTGCTGATTGGGCTTCCAGCGACGAAAGGAGAGCATGGAACCACTCGAAGGAACTAGTATCCTTGCAAACCCAGATGAATTCGACACGGCGAAGACGCGTTGGTGGATTTGGTGACGCTCGTAGATGCCATATATTCTTAAGGATTGAAGCCCATGGGGTAACGCCAATACCTGTTCCGATGAGAATAGCGATCTCATTGTTGAAGACGTCTTCTGCGGGGGCTCCGTAAGGTCCATCAATTCGAATGCTAGGCATTGTTTGTCCGTTTTGCATGGCAATTTCGTACATGCCCAGTGGGTCAAGGCCATCAATGTCCTTTGCTTGTTGTGGGCCACAACCTAAACGGTTACCCAATTGTTTTGTCCAGTCTCCAACCTGCCGTATGTGAATGCTAACGTAAGGGTCAAATGGACAGGACGTGATTGTAAAGGGATGCCATTGCGCCCTTGAGACATCTGGAACATTTATGAAGAGCCACTGGCCGGCCTTGTAGCGAAAGCTGGGCTTGTAAAATTGGATTTCCATGGCATCTTTTGCGAAAAAAAAGAAGTTATTAAACTTGCTAGCCAGAGTTCTCGGGAGCATACACATACCGTAAGGATGCCTAACGACTTTCGTAATTTCTGTAGGTTTCGCTGCTCGAATTTCTCGGTAAAGCCGTTCAAAGAGGTAAATACCTCCACCCCAGAGCTCCCATCTCCAACCTTCGTAACCGATGCAGTGATCCCAAAAGTCCTTTCCCGCAAGCGGCGAAATTGGGTCAACTGTATCTCTGACGAAGCAACCTGTAGCATGCGTGTACAGCCCCAACATAAATGGAATAAATAGATGGTGGGTATACCAAAAAGTCTCGAAAGCCTGTTGTCGAATTCGGTGATGTGCGGTCGTGTACATTAACAGCATGCACAGAAGCATGATATGGCCGGTAATCCCACCAGCCTGAGTGTAATGAATCTGAACAGCAGTCTCGGGACGAACTTGAGACTTCTCGACATTGAAAAAGCTGCAGCATCTGTTAGTCACTTTGACCATATCAAAAAAACGCGAAGCCATAACTACAAACGTACTTCACATAATGAGCAGTCGTATGCACAATAGAAAAGAAAAGTAAAGAATATGCCACCTGGCGATGGAACCACTGGGATTCATCCAAAGGAATCCAGCGAATCTTCGGCCGCACCCATCTCAGGAGTGTCCGGCACATGGGCAACAGGATCAAGGCGCCGTCAATCGAGAGCACCAAGCCGGCACCACGAGAGATCCATACCGAAAACCCCAGCGTATTCAGGGGTGCCAGACGAGGGTCAGCAGCTTGTTTCCACCTGTTTTTACTCGATCAGAATAAAACATCCACAGACACCTGCCTCATTGATAGGATAGGATAAACTTACCATCCAAAAGCAAACATGCCTATCTGCAATCCATGGAACAGGAAATAGAAGAGGATCTTCGAGCTACTGAAATTCGATTTCCACCACGCCGAATTCATGGTTGCGAAATAGTCACTGATCTTAGTATCCACAATGAGGTATTTAGGGGTTTGAAATATAGTAATAAAATAAACACCGTGAAAACTGCGAGAAACTGCTAAAAGTCGGGTATTAAGTAAGATATAGCAATAAAACAGGAGGAATGACGACCAGCGATTCCTGAGAGAAGAAGAAGCTCAGATCCAAGGGCAATCAATGCCTTCTGGAAAGAGTAGCCAGAATAGTCACAACCAAGCGAAGGAATCCGCACCGAAAAAGATAACGATGACAAGCAGAAAAGAAAGAGGGCAGGAAGCCGTGGGAAAAAGGAAGAGATGAAGGTAACGGAGGTAGTCCTGTAGTCTTAACGGCGGGTCTCCGAATGCTAATGGTGCCGAAATATTAAACTATAATGTCACAGACCATGATCTCACTTCTCGGGAGTCTCTCCCCTAGAACCACCTTGAATGCTCCCAGAACCGGCACTCCTGTTCACTCCCGTTCCTCCTACACCGGTCTAGCTCAGAAATTTGTTGAATCCGGTTTGCTGCACTATCCATGTATCCACACTGACGATTCGCTCGATGCACCCACCACCGTATATCGATATCAAAAGTTTTTCTTAGCTTCCCCCTCTCCCGCCCATTATACACTTTCCGGGGAGCAACTTATGGCAGAATGACTTATGGCAGAATGACCAAATTGAGAAAGAGATGACAATAGCCGATGCCCTTTTTCCCGCGCTGGTGATTTTGTAACTATCCAGTGGCGCAAGTTGGGGAAATGATGGGCAGGAATCGTGGCTCGTTTAGGAAGCAAGACAAGACTAAGGAGATCGGAAACGAAGAAAATCGACGATAGTGCGGTTTGAGAAGCGTAGGAGATGCAGCTCGAGCTGTCGCAGGATAGAAATTTGTGATTTATGCCTTGTCTATATAGGATGGTGGATCGTGGGCCCGGTTTCTGAAGCACTGATGAGACGACCACAAGCGCGCCTGAGAACCGGGAGTGAAGTCGACCCAACTTCCTCGCTCGCTTATTCCGACTGGGCAAACGGGACCTTGCACCAACTCTTTCCAGCTATAATGCGCTATTGTTATTAAAACTGCTGTTGTTCGTGTTGGTTGTGTGCTGAGATTGTTGCCGTTGAGGTTGGCCGTGGTTGTATTTGTCTGGGTGTGGTTGCAATGCGGCTCTTTTGTTTCCCGAATCAGCCAACGGTAGTGCCAAATAACTATCCAAACGCGAGGATTCCACGAGATCCTGCAGTTGTATCCTGGTGCAACGATTGGATATGGCAGCAAGGAATTTTCTGTGCAGATAATTACCGCCCGTCAAGAGCTGCTGGGAATCTGTAAGACTGCTAGGGCTCAAGATTGTAGGTCTGGCGGTATATGGAAGAAAGCTCAGTGTATCAGCAGAGGAGACGATGGGAGAGTAATCAAGTGACAAAATTGATACAATTCAGTATGTGCATTTGATGGCCTTAGCTGGTGGATTTAATATGATGGTATCCTTATATCTACGAATGAATATTAACTACTGCCCTAGGTCTCTCTCTCATCGTCCCCCCCAATTCAACGCTGTATGGGTCGTTGCCCAGCAATCAGATTGCTACCTCACTATCACATCTTGTTGGAGATGCGCTATTCTTTAATTTAACATCAAGGCTTGAAATCTCGCTCGTCCCCGCCAATGGTCCGGATGTAAACTGCTCGGAGTACTCCGTCAAGCCTGCCATTGCTTTCGCCCTGACCCCCTCGCTATTATTAGCTTAAAAGTGTAAGTGAAGCTGCCCTCATATCTAATCTAAACTCCGAGAGAAAGCCGGGCTTGGGCGCTAACTCTATATATCCACACCCAGGGACTGGTCCCTCGTGGCCTGGTAGGGACTTATGGCGGTAATGTGGAAGGGTCTATCCGTTCCATCGGCACACATTTCTTTCCTTTGAGGCTATTGGTAAGTTAAATAAAAGAAATGTGCACCATGCTTTAACTTGTGGTGTGTGCGAGAACTTCCTGTTGGAGTTCCATCTTGGAAGTATTTAATCAGGGACAGTCGTCGTCCAGTGCGCGCCCTTGGCCAAAAGCGCGGGGATTCCACTGCAAAAGAGTCCCACCACATTGCCAAGGCGCTTACTTGAGTTGCTTTCGGGTTCAGCCTATCATATGCATTCTGCAAGCGCTCAATGACATTCGGCTCACTTGGCATTTTTTCTTCTTTTTATTGAACCGACGGAGACCAGGCCAATAATTGCTTCTCCAACTTCAAGGGGTGGGGCCGGAGAGCCCATCCTGGACAGTCCAACCACCACCGAAAGGCTCATTGGGAAAAAAGAACTACCCGTAAGGGTTGTGTTGCTTGGGCTATTTTTAGGCTTTTTTCTGAGAGTTGAAACCACAGCATCATTAATCCAAGCCACCCCCGAGGTTGCGTGGTTCTGGAAATCTCAAAAGGGAGTTGAATGGACCCTTGAGATCTTGCGAACTGTGGCACAGCCAAGCGATTCGATGTCGCCGACTTTAAAGGGGAAGAAGATAGAATCCGAAATAAATCTCGCTGCGCGCCAATTGTCCTCGCACGGAAGGCCCATATCGAGTCTAGCTAACATATGGAGCACAAGTGATCATGCAGGACTGTGAGTAGAACTCTCGATTATTAGTAGGTTCCGCTCTGTTGTGCGGGGTGGTCTCTTGCGGTCAGTTGTACTCCGTAGACACTTACTATTAGTTACCATCGATTGCTAGTATGTTAAATTTAAGTTTAGGTTGGCGGGATGGAACCCGTCGAGGTCAACGGGCAATACGATGTAGAATCTCGGAGCTACGAGCAAACAGGGTAATTTGCAAGTACGTCCGATGCTGTGCTTGGAGTGAGATTAGGACCTGTTTTCTGGAGTAGTTAGCTGACTTCTGAATGGCGATAGAAATAACGGACTGCCGTTGTAATGCACCTGCAAATATACAAGATGTTGGGAGTGATTTTCCGCCGTTGACTGTCGCAGCGAGGATTTGGTTACTAAACTTTTCCTAATCATTTGACCTCATCACAACTACTCCGCGCGTGTCTCTCCGTATTCAAGACACTTTCGCTCTTTTATCTCATATCTGCTCATTAATAAACATTTTAACAACTCAACTGATCGACATCTCCTCACTCATCTCTAATGGCGGTACGGAGTAGAGTCGCTCAGTGATAACAATAATTAGCCCCAATGATCGTGGGATTTATCACGAGAAAGTAGCAAACTTTCAAATCAAGGTCCCATACTTTGGCCCTTGGATTAACTAACTCCACACTGATTGGATCCATAACAGTCCGTTAGCCAGAAAGCGGAGAGAAGTGCGAGGAGCCTTATGCAGCATGATGCACAAATTCCACCGTTCTCTCTACTGCGTCGGTTTCTGGCCTGCTAGGCAGTGCTAGCCAGCGACATTAGCCTGGGGCTAAGTGGGTCCGTCAGGCAAGGCGGGAGCTCCAGTTTCCCCATTGGCCATCGCCAGTTGGTGTCGTCTCGTCAGGATCACACCAACTTCAAGTATCACAAACCCCCCGCTCTTGCTTCATCATTGTGCGTTCCACCATAACCATCCCAGAAGGACTCCAAGAGCTTTGGCCCTTGGCACTGCCAATGAAGCCTGACCTGTCAGGTTCCTTGTTCGCAGCTAGCCCCTTTGTGAAGCCGAATTACCTGGCGTCGTGAGCGGAAGCACAAAACGATGATCATATTGGGCGGGAGTTGAGTCAAAGATGAAATCATTTCAAATAAACTAATGGTGCGGGTTGGTGGGTGTGGGAGTCATTCTAAGGGCAATTATTTTCTCCCATTTTCATTAATAATGCTCTAATTTCTGGACTCGCCACGGGACTCTCTCACCAAGCAACCGGAATTCAACCAGCTTCACAATCCATGCGCCACGGGAAGCCAGCGGCAGCGAATCGCATCGTTGGAGGCTTTTGAGAGGGGTGTCTGCTCACCCAGCGCCTCCAAACCCGGCGCATATTCACCTTCATATTCACCAACTATTCCCGCCTTTTGAGGTAACAGATCCTCCACACCCACCCAGCCATCATACCCATGCAGATAAACGTTGACGTTGACCGCTCTACATAATAATCATAATTCAAACAACCCATTCGCTTTCTATCCTCAGATAATAGAAAATATTTATTGTATGTATCCTGTGTTGCCCTTCGGCCTTCCTCTGTCCTCTAAACCACAAAAGTTACTAATTTGCGCTCCCAGAATCTGTAACAATTCCCAAACAACCTCTCCTGGAGACGCTTCTACGATTAGTTTATGCGCATTCGACACTGTACAAGTATCGCATAGCTATAAGCTTCCCGCATCCATTGTCACAGGCCAAAACAAGCCGATCACTGAAGCCAAAAAAGACTCATTTCCCGTCTGAAAATTGCTCCAACTTATCCAAAAACCCCCCTTTGCCGTCTCTACCGCCAAAGCGCAGTACTTAAGCTTTTTTTTTTTTTTTTTTTTTTTTTTTTTTTTTTTTTTTTGGGTTATTATCCATCCTACATTATCCGCCGAAGCGCCCTCTTCCCCTCCCCTCATGTCTTGTCGATAGCCGTGAGGGAAACAGCATCGCTTCGCGAACGCTATTTTACCTCGACCGATACTCGTTAGGAAGACCTGAGCCTAAAAGTTTTATATATATCCTCCTGTCTTTCGCTGGTCGAAAGGGCTTTTTTTTTTTTTTTTTTCCCGCAGATTGTGCGGTCCTATTTGTATGAACTTCGAACCGTTCAAGCTGAGGGAAGCCAGTTCTTCTTCCACCATATAGTTCAAGAGAAAGACAGGACGCAATAGGATATATTAACGATGGGAAAGCTGATCAAGAATCATTGGGCTCGCCTGATCATTCTGACGGCAGCGGCACGTATGTGTTAGACTCTCCCCTGGCACCCTTGAAAATGTCATTTACGACCCTATATTCCTGTCACTGATAATGTTATTTCTTATTTTCCAGACCAATGCGCCGCCGGAGTGCACGGCTTCTTCTGGCCCAAGGTCTTTTGGGACTTCCTAACAAAGAATCTCGACGGCGCCGTAAAACCCGTTCCTGTCCTGCAAATTCTCAACTTGTTGTTCGGACTCTTATGCCTAGCCTGGGAATGGCCGCTGAAACCCCTCGCCGGAACTGCGATGCACCGTAGCATTGAGATACGATTGCTGGTATTTCCCATCAGTACGCTATGTGCGATATTGCTATATCAGGGGACCAATTCTGCACTTTATTACCTGATCGGAATGGTTGTGTATTTCTGGGCGTATAGTGAGGGAGAGGTGAGTGATTTTATTTCCACAATATTTCCTACCAGCTTGCTGGTATACGTGCATTTACTAACTTTATTATCATTTTAGGTTGTCTGCGCTGAGCCATGGACACTGCCCAGGAGAATAAGACCCGGCCAGCCGAAAGTGTAAGACAAAGGCAAAGCCCATAAGGCACATCAGCGCTTTGATTCCCGTCCATTTATGGACTTGTCGACTTGGCTCCTCTTATCCAGCGAGCCAGCGAGGATGATAAAGAGCTGTGTTTCAACAGAAAACTTCACTTCCATCCGATTTTAGATATATACCCGATTTTAGATCTATACCCGTTTGTCATACATACTCTGTATATAGATCCCTTTCCAACCTGTCTCCCACAGGTCGTATATATGTATTTATCATATTTTTCATGTGTTATATGTTATTGTTCAAGCATTTACAGCGTTGCTTTCTGGTCTTTTTTGTTTACCCACTGCCTATTCTCTCGAACCTGCCTTGGCAAAGTTGCTCGTATAAAAATGCGTCAGTAAGACATAAAAAAGATATTTTAATTGCTTTTCGCATTGTTGCCTAGAGGCAAGTCGTCAACGACTGAAATATTGGTCTTCGTTCCCCTTTATCGACCTTCACCTTTTGCCGATGCTTCAGTCAACTAAATAATCGATTCATCACGTAATTAAACAAACTTAAAAGCAAAGTTTGAACTGAACCGACTCCTTGTTCATTATTCATCAGACGAGAGGACTGATAGGCAGTACAGATAGATATCACAGATGGACAGCACAATGCCGTCCATTAACGACGACAACAGGCCCGATGGCGACAGCATACCCCCTTCGCCTTCATTTAAGGGGAACCTGGATCGCTTCATCTATGACTCTCCGCCCAAGAAAGCCCTCTTCGTGCAGCAGACACAGAGCTTAGGGGCAGGGCGCACGTTGAAGCGAACGTTCTCCAACGACGATGAGGTGGAGGTGGATGCCCGCGCTTCCGCAGGCCTGCTCTCGCCGTCGCCGCAAAAGAAAAGTCGATCTGAACCCTCCTCACCATCCCGTAGAACCTCCGGCCGCCAAACACCCAATACCAGCACCACCACAATCGCTGCTAGCAGAGCTCCCTTCGTATCAACTCCTAACCTCAGGTCCCCCGTATCTCCAGTATGCAACCTCCGCGACACCATTCCACACAACCTCGTCCTCCTCTTCATAGGCGTTAACCCAGGCATCATGACCGGGCAAACAGGCCATGTCTACGCCCACCCTTCCAACCTCTACTGGAAACTCCTCTATTCCTCTGGCATAACCGATTACCGCCACCCTCCCTCCGATACCTACCGGCTACCGGAGCTGTATAGCGTCGGCAACACGAACATCGTTGCCAGACCCACGAAGGATGCTAGCCAACTATCGAGGAAAGAGATGGATGACGGAGTACCGGTGCTGGAGAGGAAAGTGAGAGAGAAGAGGCCAGAGGCTGTTTGTCTTGTTGGCAAGGGCATTTGGGAGGCGGTGTGGAGGGTTCGGAGGGGGAGGGCGATTAAGAAGGAGGAGTTTAGGTACGGATGGCAGGATGAGGGGGAGAGGATGGGGAAGACGAAGGGGTGGAAGGGAGCTAGGGTGTTTGTAGCTACGACCACGAGTGGGTTGGCGGCTGGGATGACCATGGCGGAGAAGCAGGCCGTGTGGGATGAGCTGGGTGAGTGGGTGAAGAGGAGGAGGGGTGAGAGGGAGAAAGAAGGGATTCCGAAGGTGACGGCTGTAGATGAAGGTGATGAGGGGGATTGATGATTGCGGGTGTGATTCTGTGCTCATTCATTTGGAAATAGGGGTTCTTGGTGTTTTGGCTCTATTTTTATTTTTATTTTTCATATATGTTGTGCAGTCCGCTTGGTGACCTTGCTTCTTGATGGCGTCGTGAATGTATGGAGGACAATTCTCAGTAGGGTGTTTACAAAATAACATACAAGGCCTTGTTTTGCTATAAAGTTATATACACATTCTCAGAAGGAGTATCAGTCCAGACATATGCAAAGCGGATGCCCCTCAAAAGTAGAATACCGTTTATGTCACCCTCCACCTACCGCAATGCCTTCTCCATATCATGCTAGTTCATCATCACCACTACTCGCATCTTCAGGCATATGAAGAGGGAGACCCCTAGTGTCAGTAGTTCCGGCCCCCCCTTGGCCCCTGTCTTCAAACCAACCTTCCAAATCTACATGAATCCTCAACTCCTTCTCAACAAGCACATTCCACACTTTCCTCAGCTCGTCCGGTCCCATTACCTCTCGTAGTCCCCGCTCCCGGAACGCAAGCATCACCAACTCCTTCGCCCACGGACAAGAACGTATCCCACGGTATAGGACCGCTCGTGCACGACCCCACTCTGACAGCGCAAGTTCGAAAAGTAGGTAGAGTTTCCAGGTGGATGCGCTGAATTGTCCGGAAGGAGTGGTGACGGCTGATTCAAAAGCAGCACGGGCGGAATGGACAGTCGACCCCGCTGAGACACCTCGATGGAGTTCGGTGTATATAGAAAAGAGATGAGAGATTAGTGTCGATTTTGTCGAAAATCTCGTTGTTGAATTCTTGTCGTCGTCGTCACCAATCCATGTTGTTGGGTGGGTATGTTGGCGCAGCAGGGAGCGGACGCGGTCTTCGATCCGGAAGCGAGATTCGTTCCAAGTAAAGAGGCTGAGGAATAAGGTGTTTTGCGGAAAGCGGGAAATACTATCTGTTAGCTCCGAGCGAAGGAGAGCGGGCTTGTATATCTTGGTTGAAGTTGCATGGTGATACAAAAGCTTCGCTTTCGCCTGGAGGAGCAGTTCTCCGAATTCCGTGTTTTCTAGCCGATGTTCAACGAGCCGGGAATGACTGGTGCCGTAAACGTTCATAGCAGCGTCAATGTCGAGTCTCGTAGCCAAATAGAGCAACAATGCGAGGCACTCTACGGCACTGACAAACACGTTAGGTTTGCGAGAGGTGAGACCATGCTCCCGAATTTCAGTGAGGATCTGGGTAGAATGTCAGCAATTTTCAGAAAATACTGTTAGGCATGCTTACCCTTTGAGTCTTGAGTAATCCACCAGGCTTAATATCTGTGGTGGATTTCACGTCATCGGCAAAGGCGCGTGGATCTATAGTGCCGCTAAAAACTGCAAGTAACAATCGAAGCGCTTTGTCGTTGTTATGGTCGGCGAGAATCTCCCACAGCCAAGTTCGCCATAAGAGTATGCTGCCTACTTTATCCTCTTCCTTGAAACTGTCGCTCATCGATAAGGCTGTGGTCCAAACATGCTCCGCTGCCGTTATCTGACCACCGCGACATTCAATCAGAGCGTAGGCATTATATAGCCGCAGGTTCGCGGAACGTTTCTTCAGAAGATTCTTCGCATATTTTTTTGCCTCCTCAGCACTGGAAAGGAATTCAAGGGCAACAGTAAACTCTGCAAGATCATCTTGCTCAGGCAAACGATTCACCAAGTGTCGCAGTGTTCTCTTAACCCATTCCCCGTCAAGAGGGCTGTGATCATTCAAATACGTGCTCTGCCAGGTTCGAAGTTCTGAAAACCAGGCTTCATTGCCAAACAATGTGTCCGAATTGTTTAAAAAGGTGGGGAGGGGAAATGCGTTTAGTTGGTCTTGCACAGTATCTTGTCCGCCATGGACCATATCCGAGAACCACCTCGACGATTGATCATCGAAATCATCTAGCAAATTGTTACGAATAAATGGATCTCTGCGCCATTCGGTGAGAATGCCTGATTTCCTAGATGTTGCTAGAGGAGGGAGTCCACAGAACATCATGAAAGCACCGATCAGTAAATCGGGTGTATGGGAGAATGGAATAAGAAAATCACTGATATCCGAGGACAATATCACTCGGTATGGGTCGTCTTCTTGAACATCGTCCAAGGAGCGAGCCGGCAGGCGCGAATGGCGAATTTTCCATCGTTCAGATTGCTCCCAGGATTCAAATATCGACCTTTGATCTATTTCCCGGCTAGTAGGGTCTGACTTGGGATCAGGAGCTGCACTGGCCCCACTGTCCCAGCCTTTTGCCCCAATTTCACCTATTCTCGGTATCTCACTGTCCCAAAATTCACAAAAGGCAGGTATCGCAGTCGCGGGGTCTTTTGATATATCAAATGATGTGGGATGGAAGAAATTAAATTCCAAAACTGCTTGCCATAGACCGACAGCATGCTCCACATATCCCGCCTCTCGCATAAAGCGACTTAGTCGCAGGATAAGATAAACGTTGATGATGTTGAGCTCTGTGCCGCCTTTGCGCAATCCATTGATCTTCAAACAGTCGATGAAAATCGACCGGCATTGCTCGTAGGTAAAATTAACAAAACGGGTTTGCTGAAAGTCCAAATATTTAATCCAAAGGTTCATGTAATCCGGGTTCGCTTGTAGAATGGTCTTCCACTTGTTCGAGAGCGTTTTGGTGTCATATAACGTTGCCGCTTCCTCCATCATACCAAGAAGGAGACGATCTCGACGAGCTTCCCGTGGCAATTTATTCAATGCTTTCTCGTATATTGATATTTTAATATCAGCAACGCTCCTTTTCTCTGCCGTAGTAAGTCTGCGCAGCCCGTCACTAGTAGCAACTCCAACCAACGAGTTCTGGTGTTCAATGAGCTGCAGCCAGCCTTCAACGTCATCCGGGTGTTCTGTGACTCTTCTGGATAAATCGGCATTGCGACGGCGGGCATTTTCATCATCAGAAACTAAATCTGAGTCTGAAACAGCTTCCAAGCCCTCGGGAGGTTCCTTGGATGGTTTAACTTTGCCTTCGATTGATCTGTAGTCAGTACCATTGTCCTCGGGTGATGATCCCCTGGGGTGCATATCCCCGCGAAGTCTCCTCCTACGTTTGCTAGACACATCGGAAGTTAATGGCAAGAAATCTCTCTGAGCGTCAATAGACGAGGTATGCTCCGAGTCTGGCCTGACTCGAAATTTCGCCTCTCGTTTTGGCTTCTTTCGAAGGAATTCTCTATATTGTTGCTTTGGACTATCATAAACAGCCGTACTGTGTCTGATTATCACGGTATTTCCATCCTCATTGTCGCGATCAATCCTGTAACCTGGTGGCAATCCAATAACACTCCCTGACCCCGAGCGGAAATATTGTGGAACACTGTAACGATTTATACTGCCGTATTCCACATTGTATTTATCACCCTGTCTATCTATTATGAATAATTCCTGCTCGTCGCGTTTATTTGGCCATTGCTGGGTGCGTTCACGCCGCTCTATTTTGGAGGAGTAAACCGTGTTGCTATCCCTAGGATGCTGCCCACGACAGTGATCTGGTACATCCTTCCGCGAACGAGAATGATCTCTACGTCGTGAATGTCTAGACTCATGTCTAGACCGTTCATGTCTGCTGGAAACTGTTCCCCTTCCATGTTCAGAGCTGACATCTGCGGTCGCCGCAGTTGGTCGGAAGCTCGCGAACTTCGGGACTGGCTTCTTTTCCTGAAACAGTATAAATTAACCTGCATTCTGGTGTAAATATAAATCCTATTTGCGAAATACGCACCTTTGAGTTCCCTGAATCCATATCCAAGAAGCGCCCATAGCTGTCTGTGTCTTTGCCCCGAAGGCCGAGCCGAGTTGTATATCACGGTCGGATGCACTTGCTGTTTAGGGAAATAAAGCCTCGGGAAAAACTTCCGTTTTGGTCACAGAATTTTTGCGGCAACTCCAAATATTATATTTAATTTTGCACCAGATAGGTTTTGATTCCACCATCACAACCGCCCCGGAGGAATTTCCACGACAGCTAGCAGACGGCCTTCGGAGTTATTATATGACATTTAGTATGTTACTGGACATGGCCTTTTCCCCCTAAAACTTCAAAATCTCCCTGAACGGTTAATCACAATGGCGTCCTCGCTCGCCGCGCAGCTATCGCAAATAGCTGCAACCTCGACGCACCAGCTTGATTTGAAAGCCCAACGGGTTGCGCACTCGAAATCTTTGCTGTTCGAACAGAGGGATGCGGTATCTCAGAGCTTTGATACTATTTACCAAATATGTCATGAAGGATTCCAGGAATTATGTGCGCTTGATTCAAGATTTGTGAGATTCCGGCGTACGATATTCAGCGAACAGAGCAAGTCAGAGGATAGGCTTGAAATGAATGCAGAACAAAATCAAGAGCTGGATACTGTGTTGGAGGAATTTCTGGCACTTGTCGGTAGCCGTCTTCTACTTCAACCAGCCATCAAGGCGGTGGAGTGGCTGGTTCGTCGATTCGGGTATGTTTGCAATCCCTATGCCTCACTCACTCTGCTGGAGCGAGTCTTAACTAACATGAATCATTCAGAGTTCACGAGCACAATACCGCCTTCGTCTTACTCACATTTCTTCCGTACCATACAACTGATTTGTTCAAAGTACTTCTTTCGATTTTACCCGAAAACCTCCCCCCGGCTTTCAAAGTTTTAAACCCTTATAGACGGAGTTTGACCCTCCCACCTCGGCATCCGATTGTCCATAGCGCCTCAACGAATAAACTTTTTTTCTCTTCCCTAAATAATTATGTTTTGCAGGTCAGCAAGGCTCAGGCACATTATCAAGGGCTTCTATCATTTTGGGCTGGCGTTGTAACGGAAGCTCTGGCCAACATGCTGGACTCCGCGAGCTCTGGAAGACGAGAGGTGGAAAGAAGGAATAAGGAGGATGTTTTGCTTCAGATCCTTCCGGTATTGCATAGCGGATTTGGACTCACAAAAGCCCCCGAAATTATCATCGGTTGTTACATGCTCTGTGTTGTTATCGCAAAGAAGACCTCGCTGGAGGATACCGTGTTGGACGGACTCTTGGAGGCTGTCGCTGGAACCTGGACCCAGGAGACTCGATTGGCAGCAATGACATGTTTATCCGTCCTAGCGCAACACAAAAGTTCCCAGGAACTTCCCCGGAATGTTGTCAAGTCTATCATTTGTTTCGAAAACTCCCTCGATTTGATTTCTGAACTCTGCGCACGATCCTCGGTGACTGGATTACTTCTTGGTTTGATACATGGATGCACCAAGGATATTAGTGAGCAGAAAGATCTGGCTCCGTTGAAATTCGTGAACAACATTATACAGCGTGACATTTTAGAGCCAGAAGCTCTAATTCAGGCAATGGTTATTGTTCTTCGAGCAGCCAACGATGTACAAAAATCCGGCCGTATGGTCGAAGAAAGCCGGACAATTCTCTCGGAAATTATCCAGCACTTTACTGAGTCCGAGTCTTTGGCCCCTTTACTCCAAAATGCTATTCAGGAATCGAGCATTGATATTAACGCATTAGAGATGGGTCTTGAGACGGTTATTGAAAGTAATCAAATTCTAATGACCATCGAAGATGTCGAAATGGAAGACGTTGCGGACACCGGTGAAAAGGAAGATATGTTTGCTAGGTCCCTGGAGGGAATCCCCAAATCTACCAAACAGGCTTCCTTTCTTGAAGGACCACATTCGGCGATTTATGGTCAACTGGCGCACACATTTGTACTTGCGATTGGGAACAAGGAAAAGCTATTGCAATTTATTGATTTGCCCATTTTAAACCGGGGTTCAGCTCTTCAGGATACTCTGTATCTCTCTTTCCTCATGCGCTTTTGCTCTGGGCCATACTCGCCGGCAAGCAGAGCAGCAGCTGTCCAACTTATGGCAGACTGCCTCACTGAGAATGCCTCTAGCTGCATTGACATGCAAGCAACTCTACCATATATAATCTCAGCGCTCTGTGATCCGTCCGAGAGGGTTCGAAGAGAAGCAGCCAGCCTGCTTGCCGCTTTTGGACGCAGTTGCGCAAAAATCAAGAAGGAGGACGAGCACAAGCCCCAGCGCTGCTGGGGCTACAATACTCTCTACGGGAAGACCGAGCGATCTAAATCTCTTCGGTGGTTATCTCCACGAGACGTATATAGAGTTGCCCATCGTGCCTTATTGCCTGCATTAGAGGAATACGTACTGGAGCCGGCCCAGATAAGAAACGTGTTGGAGAGCGCAATTCGTGGGACATCTGCTTCTGGCGCCGACAATACTAAGACTCTGGATTCTGAACTAAAAAAGACAGTTCGACTAGACTTATTTATTTTCTTGTGTTCCCATACGATTATCACCCCCCTTTATGCAGTAAAACTTCGTTTGCTCAAAATTCTCAACCGTCTTGGGAAAGTTGGTTCTACTTCTCGTACAGAGGAACTTTCTCCTCTTCTTGACCAATGGAAGCTCTTAACCGATGACGACATAGTGAAAATCGCCAATACAGAACAAGTGGATGTCCATGAGTTGGAAGAGCAGGTCCTTGACACTGTTTCTGGAAAGCGCAAGAACGCAGTTGATATTCTCCTCTCATCCGTTACGTCTCAATCTAACACTTTAAGGCCGGCCTTTGCACACGCTGTTTTCAAGCGCCTCAACGAGATCTGGCCATCACTTACAGAGGACAGTGAGGTCAGTGCTGCCGATACTTTCCTCCAAATGGCTCTAGGGCTCTCTGCTGGAAATGAAGGACTATCGAATCTGTGCAGAGACCTCCTTCGGACAGTCGATCTCTCTGGCCCTATCCTTAATCACTTCCTTTACAAGATCTCTACCGCCGTAATTGACACGGAGCCGCAAGCACCTGCGGCGAAGCGACGGCGGACTAGTCAGAATAATATGGTTGCAATGACCACGAGAGATCCGAAGGAGTTAAGTCAGATTATCGGAAAGGTCACATTTATCCTGGAACTTATTGATGGGTCAAATCCGGAAAATTATCCTCAGCTCTTAGGGGGACTTTTCCAAACTCTTGCTGCCGTGCACCACTTGAAACTACAGCTTCAGGCAGAAATGAGCTACCTACTCAGTCTTGTTCTAGGTATCATGCTTGCTATTATTAACAAAGCGAAATTGTTGCCCAAACATAACCTGGATACCTCAGTCATTCGTGCGGACATGATCATCGATTGCATTCGCACATCCCAGAGCCCGCAAGTTCAAAACACGGCTTTATTGTTAGTAGCAGGGTTGGCTACAATATCCCCAGAAATTATCCTCCATAGCGTAATGCCAATATTTACGTTCATGGGTTCCAACGTTCTGAAAAAGGATGATGAATACTCAGCTCTTGTCATCGACCAGGTATGTTGTGACCTTCGTACTTAATTTCTTATTAGAAGCATCTAACAAACTACGGTTAGACAATCGATCAAGTGGTTCCTCCACTTATACAATCATTGCGTAATCAAAAGAGGGACGTAGTGTCCGGTACCTCAGAACTTCTTCTCAGCTTTACTGCTGCATTTGAGCATATTCCATCACATCGCAGGTTGAGACTTTTTGAAGCATTGATTACGAAACTGGGTGCCGGGGATTTCCTTTTCGCCGTGTTCGCAATGCTTGCAAATCGATACGGAACGGATCGGGATGTAGTAGGGTTGATGACTTCCCTTGCAGCTAACACTGGTGTAGAACTACAGCTTAACGTGAGTTACACGGCATGTTTGGCTCGTGTTGTATTATTCTTCTGCTAACTTTCGCATTGCAGTCATATACTAAGTACCTGGACCTTGTTGCGGACGCGTTACTTCCTAAGCCGAATTTGTCCCGCACGCTTCTTGGGGTTGGTGGCGAGGATGGCCGAGATCCGCCCAGAATAGCGGCTGATCTGCTGCAAGCGTTATCCCACCTTCTGCAAAGCACATCACTGAAAACTCAAATGACGAAGATTTTCACTTCTGATGATGCCGATGTGGCCCCTATCCACAACCTTTTCTCTCGCATCTTGGAGCAATTGCTCGCTCTGTCTGACACCGTTCGAGCCAATAAACCAGTTAGCAAAGCCTGCGGTGATGCCTTGGGATCCCTCCTAGGGACTTTGTCATTGATTGACTTCCTCGATACCATCGAAGTTCTACTTCGACGGCCCGATGATGACCTGCGCAGAAGAGTATTGAGACTACTAGAGAGCAGATTAAACCAGAGCCACGAGAGAGATTCCGCCTCTCAATCCAGGGTTTTGGCGTTTCTACCTACCCTTGTCGGTATACTTGAGAGCTCTCATGATGTTCTCTTGAAACATGCCTCCGTTGCTTGTATTGATAAGATAGCGGAGAAATACGGAAAGAAAGATCCAACATCCGTAGTAGAAGCAGCTAAAGTGGTTGCTGGCGAGAATTGTATTGGCCAACCCGATGACCGCATCCGTGTGATTGGAATCTTATATCTTGCTTCTGTGACGGAAGTTGTTGGCGAAGCGATTATTCCAGTCCTCCCTGCGGTCTTTTCACGAGCCTTTGGGCTCCTAAAGGGTTGCCTGGAGTCCAACAAGAAAAATGCAGAATTGCATGACGCAATTTACTCCCTTATCAGTGCCCTTATTACGCATGTTCCGTGGATGATATCCGATGACCATCTCAACAATATCCTTTGCCTATCTTTCAAATCAGCAGCTGCAAATCTTCCCGAAGACTCCAACGAGAACCGCCACGAAGCATTGAACCTTCTTGCAAGGCGTCTTGATGTTAGCGAACTCTTTAAAGCCGTCGAATCCAATTGGTCGTTTGCTGTGTCCGAGGGACCTCAGGTAAGCTGATTTTTCCAATTCCTCCTACGTTTTTGGAATTAATTTACTCATCATGTTGCAGGCTATCGGTGAGGTACTGGAGGTTACAAGCCTCGCTATTGAAAAGAACCCAAAATCGTCAACCGTCAAAAATGTCCCCACTTTGACCAAACTATTGGAGAAAGCTCTCGATATTCGTCGTACACAGTTCTCTCAGCCAACAAAGAGCAGTTACGGAGAGGATGACGTTAATGACATCGAAAGCCAAGTGAACGATATGGGGATCAAAATGATTTACAAACTAAATGACACCGTCTTCCGCCCATTGTTTGTCCAGTTAACGGAGTGGGCAGCGGGCGGGCTTCCTAAATCGGATGGCTCAGGAAGGCTCCTGAGACTTACCACTTTCTACAAGTTCCTCGGGGCTTTTTTTGGCACTCTCCAGGTAACGTACACTCAATCCTTGCAATTTGCATGATCTGTATGGAACTAATGTTCAACCCCCCATTCTAGTCTATTGTTACTAGCTATTCCAGCTACATTATTGAGAGTACAGTTGAAATCCTAAAGACCGCACGATGCAACGACAAGGACTCTAGAGGGCTATGGCTAGCCACTATGCGTATGCTTCGCAGCTCTTTTGAGCACGATCAAGATGGTAAGCAAGATGCCCCCCCACAAAAAAAAATTCCTTGTTTCCACAGCTGATAAATTTTAATATGACAACCTCACTAACAACCGCGAGCAGAATTCTGGCAATCCCCCACCCATCTAGCAGCCATATCCGGCCCTCTGGTCACGCAACTCTCCCACTCTACCAACCAATCAAGCCTCAAACTCATCACCGCCGAAGCCATCCCCACCATCGTCGAACTCGCCGCCGCGGCGGATTCACCGGACAACCACAAGGAACTCAACTCTGCAATCATGAAACTCATGCGTCCCGGTGTTAGTAGCACGGGTAGAAACGGTGGCGACAATCCGTACACTCGCCTTGCTGCTGTAAAGTGCGAGTTCAGCCTGACAGAGCGCCTGGGTGAAGAGTGGCTAGCATTACTACCTGAGATGCTGCCGTACATCAGTGAGCTGATGGAAGATGATGACGAGAACGTTGAGAAGGAGGTGAGGAGGTGGGTTTTGGCTATTGAGGAGGTGTTGGGCGAGAAATTGGATGATATGTTGGTATAAAAAAAAAGGGAAGGAAAAATGAAATTTCGTTGTTACGGCTTTTTTTTTCTTGGTGCATCTCTGCGCTTTAGTTTGGTTCAATTGCATTTGTTGGTCATTCTATAATTGCAGAACGCAGTTTCATGTTGTATATACGCATGATATAAATATTAGACATAGATTCAAATATCCTACTCTGCTTGCCTAGTTGCTGCAAATTGCCTATTGCTATCTTCATCAGGGAATTCTTCGCATGATTTTCAAAGAGAACATCATCGTTCACAGGGGTATAATGTAGGAAATCAGCAGTTTATCCTCTCAACTGTGGCGTCTTTACAAATTATCTGAGCCAAAAATGTGATAGGTAGGGCCTGTACCCGCCCAGCGATCATCCGTGTGAAAGTGTGAAAGAGAATGTCTTCCCAAAGTCGAATTATTCTTGCAGTCTCACCAGCCATGCCTCGACAAGTTAACAGGACAACCCAGAAAGCCTAGATAGGAGGTGGATTCAAATCGAGACCATCAACTGTCAACTTGAAAGCGTCGTTCCTCGAATAGCTCCCCGCAACATCCAAATCCAACCTGCCCCTTTCACAGTCCTCAAAATCGACTTCTGTAATTAGGATGTGGCTGCTGTCATCACCATCATCGCCATCAGACACATTCCAGATTGGGCCCGCTAGCACATTTCCCATAGGGCCAACTATGCAAGAGCCGCCGCCGGACAAGTAAGTGTCAGAGGACAGTGACGATGTGGAGGCTGCCCCCTTCTTGGTATCCGCTGTATGATCTGGCCATGTAATTTCGTGCTCGTCTTCCGTTATAATAGATTTTCTACGGCATTTTGTGGGGTCGGGGACCGACGGGGGATCCGGATGTGGTTCGGAAGGAGAGGTCATTATTGACTGCGTCGGTGATGAAAGAGTGGCGAATGGATCGGCATCTTGTTCCGTTACTCCCACTCCATCGACGGCTGTGCTATTGGTATGATACTCCGCTCCGGGGGATGGGTGGATCCCACCGCCCGTTTCAGGGAGGTTTTCCTGGGTAATCTTGGTAGTCTTGGGTGCGTTAGGATCATTGCATGGCCACACAATCTCATGTGATCCTTCTAGGGTAGTCATCGAAGGTTGTCGTCGCCGTCGTATTGATCGAAAACTGGTCGATGGCTTGGCTTCAATTGTGTGGTGGCTTGCGACATTAGTATGTCCCTGACCCGCTGTGATCCACGAAGGAAGCTGGCTTTTCCGAACACATTGGTTGGCGCTCAACACAACAGTTCTCCCTTCAAACGCCACTGTGCGCATCAATGGCAGCCAGGTATCACGCGCGTCTGCAGTTGGGGCGAGGTAGAGGTTCACATTCTGGGAATAGAGACTCTGTCGTAGCAGGGGCATGCAGTTCTCCCAGCATATGGCAGCTGCTAGCGTCAGTTTCACCCCGTTAATCTCGGTGGTAACGGCCTTCAGGGTTGACGGGGATCCTTGTGCCCATACCAGCCGCTCGCTACCAGTAGGCATCACCTTTCTTCGTTTCCCCAACGTCCCTCGCTTGGAATCCACGTAGACGACGGCACAGTACAAACTCCCACCGGCTCTCTCAATCAAGCCAACAATGAGCAGAACTCCCGTCTCCCGCGCGACCCGTTCTAGATACTCCCTCGTACCATCGCCCCGGTAATTCTTCCCCTTCGCAACTGGAAGAGTCCTTTCAATCCAGTCATCTCCAGCACCAACAGGGGTATCCCCAAGGTCAACTGCAGCGTGAAAGTAGTGTAGATACTGCTCGCGGCCAATAGGGTCTCGAGCCCCAACGGAGGCACCAAAGGTGCAAGTTCGCGGATAACCACCCAAATATGCTTCTGGGAAAAGCAGGACGTGGGCTCCACGGGACATAGCAAGGCGCGTAGTGCATTCTAAGGCTTGGAGGGTATCAGACAAGGTGTCCCGAGTGCGCGATTGCGCGACTGCGACGGTTAATTTCTGCGGCATGATTGCTCACTTAGGCGACTCAGTTCGGCTGAGTAGCGGGTGGGTGGCCCACGAGTAAACTGGGCGAGGAGATATATGGTATACTTAACCGGTAAGCAGAGGACGTTTTCACCCCAATCCCCGTCGATAAAAGAGCCAAAGCCCGAGCGGGGACAGTTGCGCCGTCGGGTGTATGTATGGATGCATGTATGTATGTATGTGCGTAGCGGCTGGGTTCGGCAATGTGATTCCCCGCTCTGCGGGATGATGTAATAGCCGGCCTCGGCGTACTTGGTTGTCAACTGCGAGGAATCAAATATTTGATTATAATTTCACCAATATCCCTCAATTTGTGCCCGAGCCCTTGGAACTAGAAGTTTACATGCTAAATAAGGCAATCCCCAAAGATTCTTGTGAGTCTGCCCTACTTTTTGGTTGGCATTCTGAAACTCATGTCAAGGGTGGAGTTTTCTGTTGAACAGTACTCTGTACCGTACCTTCATTTAGAAATCCCGCACACAAAGATGATGTAAGTGGATTTTTCAATGAACAATATTATCATGGGCTATCAAGGTTAGTCAGATTAAGAGCGTCCTGCTTTCGGAAGCCGCCTATTTAGGGATCCGCAAGCATAGCCCAGCAGGCCTGCATTATCCCCCCCGCGGAACCATTCATTCGCGCACATTAGATCGAGCTTTCTGAGGAGGCGGGCCGCACTTTGTGGCCGACGTTTGTCGCTTAGTGCAACAGCAAGCACCTGAATGACGAACATATCCCTTTCAAGAGCTTCGCGGCGGGTCTCTTCGTCGGGATCACCCTGTACAAATGCTTGGGAGTGGATGGCTTGTATATCATCCACGTAGCTGAGGCGACATCTGGCGTCGTTATATGCGCCCTGGTCAAGCGCGATCGCCGACTTGGATATAATTTCTTCTAGTTCGTCGTTGAACTGTTTTGGAGCAGGAGTATTCCGTGAGTATGACCTCCATCCGTCCTCCGCTATTTTAAATCTGTCCTGTAGCTCCTCTGCTCCCCGGACTGTGAAAGAAAGGGTGTTCTTGGTGGTAACCAATAACTGTGCGAGCCCCAGTCGCATGTCTGAGCTCAACTGCCACCGCCAGGACCTATGTTCTAGAAAACAGACAGAAATGTCAAGGCTCTTGATGGCAAGAGCTCCGAATCGGCGGATTAGATGACATAGATGATTGTAGCGGCCCGCATTGTATGCAAAGAGGATGTCCTTACGGACTTCAACTCCCTCCTCGGTTTGCCATCTCTGTTCATCCACGAATTCTGATCGCTGGGTAACTTTCACATCTGCCACGAGCCTTTGCCTCACTCTTTCGCCCAAGAACCCGCTGATAGGGATATTCGGCTGGGCATAGCGTCCGGCGTCCCCGAGCTGGTATATATGATAGCTGTCATGCTTCGGTACGGTGATGGGGCCTATTTGGAAGTGGATCCACACGTTCTTGTGTAACAAGATATGTAGCGCTTCCTCACGAATCTGTCTATTAAGGTGGAGAGTCTGAAGACACAACACCTTGTCCAGGGGCTTGTTTAGATCATCGGGGGCATTCATACTTGGGTCCACTACGAGTAGGTAGGAATAAATCTCGCATCGTAGTTCGATTGGTAATGATAGGAATCCTTTTCGGGGCCGGAGATATCTTTCGATAGATTGGGCGCGAGGAAGGCTGGTTTTTCTACTAGGCGAGTGATTTTCACTAGATGTCCTCATCCGCTTTCTAGCAGCGTTGATGGATGGACCTGGAACCCGCTGAAGTTCCATTCCGTATGTGCACCTGGGTTTTCCAATCGCGTTTCTGTAAAAGTCGTCATGGTACAATATGAAGTGCAAATATCCCAGGAAAGCGCGGAAGGGAATATCAATTTTATTTATACTCTGTTACTCCTGGCAGAAATAATAGTCAGCAGGCGAACAAAATAAACAACAATGCAAATAATGAATGAAATAAAGAAAGGCAATCCAGTTATACAAGACAATCACTTTGTCCCTCGACGGATGAAACAGTATCTTTCAAAGACTCGAACGGGTTTGACAGCCCTTGTGTGAAAGCGGACCTGCAGGTTATCTTCTTTGTCTGCCACTCAATCAGCATGAGTGAATTTCAGTATACTGCTGCATCAGTCCTAGGAGCAGTATACAGAAAGGAAGCAAGGAAGTGCTAACAAAAGCACACAAAGCTGGATAATATCTCAAACGCAGCAGCTCGTACTAAAGTATCAAACCTATTCACACCCCCAAGTCCTTTCATTTGGGAGTGCCTAGATCATCTAACCTGCCTTCGGGAGCTAGACGCAAAGGTGGGAGTCGAACTGCCGACTCTCCCAGTGGCCATGGAGAGTTTTGTCCAAGGTAAGACCCTCCGTTGCTACGGCTGGTAGTAAAGACATTTTAGTCCATCTTGGCTTCACATTCCATAATGAAAAGCTAGCTTTGTGGTCGTGAGGTGAAGTGACACCCAGCGACAGGCAGGATTAAGGGGTGGAGTGTTTGAGGTGGGTAAAGGCGAATTCATTTTTAGGCTTCACAGAGGGGCGATGCAGCCTGGTCAAATAAATATATTTACCTAGAAAGAATCGGGGTAAGAAAAACGAATTCTTTGTCCAAGAAGCTCCTCAAAGCGCAATAGTAAGAAAGAAGAAGAGGAAACAAATCAGAAATAGAAAAAACTAAAATTGTATTCTTTCCAGCAATTATTATAATCTTGTAGCAACTGATATATTACGATCCCAGAATCTTGGAGAAGAAATGGACGGGGTCGTACTCAAAGATCGTTGTCAGGAAGGGAAAAAGAATATTATTCTCTCTTCCCTTATTCTCGTCTCAAACACCCCATCGCTACCTAACCCTCCCAAAATCTCCACAGGGAGAGAGGGGAAAATGATGGAATGGGGTGCATCCAGCTCAAGATCTGACGATTGAAAACGTAAACAGATCGAGCGAGGAAGGAGACTACCTTCACTTTTTGTGTTTTCGAAATAATCCAAGCATTTGCTAAGAGGACAGGCAGTCACGGAATGCACGAAGCAGAAAATCATAATATGAGCACGGTACCATGCGGAACCATTATATTAATTTCGTTCGTTAATCTTCCGTTAAGTTTCAACTTGGTTGAAGCGTTAATAAACTTACTCAAGTTGTGCCGGCCAAGAAAATAAAACCCAGAGGAAATATACCAGGATATAAAGCAACCCAATCATTGAGGCTCCGAGGATAGAATTGCCGAGTAGTGTACATGGAGGCCAACGAAAGGAAAAACAAAAAGAAAAAAAAGAACACGAACTCCGATTTCCATGCTCAAACCTAGATCAGTAAGCTACCTTTGTCCTCATATCCTAGATACACAATGTTAGCAAGATTGACATTCCCGCAACATGCAGGGCCAAATGTAACAAGGAAGGCACTCACGGCAATCTTCCGTTCGATTTCCCGTACCGACCTATCCAACTCCCCGGCAATCTGTTGTTTCTTGTCATTTGGAAGCAAAAGATACGTTTCGCAAAGGTCGCCATCAATGGTTCCCTTCGCAGGGGCATAGTAACTCCTATAAATTAGATGATCTCGTCCAGCGAGCGGAGGGTTCTGCGACGAAAGTTGCATTTCCAGACTTTGGAAGAAATCCACTTCCTCACGACTGACAAATGGTATTAACATCGCCACAGTCCCCTGAAGGCCGGTCCATACGAGGACATCTCGGCCACCCGTTACTAGTTGCGCCTTTTGGATGCTGGTGGGTAAATCCTGAGGGTAGAAGTGGGCGACAAGGTTTAGCCTATTAGGGGCACCTTGTAGGTATTGTCGTTCATGAATCAGATGAGCTCCTGATCCGTCCTCGTCGGCTTCTTCTGACGCCTTTTCCGGACAGCGGAGAAGCCATAGGTTCCCAAACTTGTCGCCTCCAGCAACAGTTTCGTAATCCACCATTGTTGTGCAAGTGGTCCAGCGAGAAATAACATCGTCCACAAATGGGATGAGGCGGTTTTCCTGGTATTTATAGACAACGTAGGTCACGCTTTCCTGTACGTCGCTGACGATGATTCGACTACCCTGTGTTTGCAGACCCACTACAAGGTGCGGGACAACTGAGGCCTGGCATTTTCGAAGCATCTGCCTCATCCCCAGGTCGTATATTCTTACATCCGTACCAATACCAGCCAGAAGCCGCCCTTGGAAGCCAAGAAGGGCCATCGGAGGTTGCTCAACTTTGGTTTTGTGGATAAATTCTAGCTCCTTGCCCTCTTCCTGGAATCTATACACATAGATGAAGCCGGCCGAGGAAGACCTTGGGTTAACAACCATATCTTTTCCGGTTCCCACGACTAAGAAGGTTTCGTCATCTTGGCTCGAAAAGGTCACAGCTGCCACACTAACGGCAGCTTCATTTTCTTCCAGTTCGATTTGTGAAATAACGCTTTGCGAATTTACTGGATCAACAATTTGTATGCATGATGCCCAATGACCAGTCCCGCGTGGGTAACCGAACTCTTCCGGCGGTAAGACCATCGCATCACCATTGACAGCACCAGAGTCATTCAGAAGTTTGGTTCTTGTGCCTGGTGAAAGGATGTTGTTGTCTGCTTCGATTACATAAAATAGTGGGTGTTCAGGGTGTTTGATAAAATGTCGCGGCGTATATTGAAGTGGTATCGTTTCCTGCAGGAGGTTATTCTCCAGTTTCTCAAGAGAAAAGATCCTATTTGTAAAAACGTATCAGTAAATTTTACATCAGGATAAGAGGGGCAAAAGATACGCCAAGGTTAGGAGGTGTTTGAGTTTATTTCAGTAGGAACAATTGGATATTTAAATAATTTATTTATTCCGCATAGTCAACGTGTGACTCGGGATGTTGTTTCATCATGAAAACTTCGCAGACATTCAAAAGAGGGGGGAGAAATTTCAGTACGTACCTAAGATTCTGTCCTTGGATGCCAACCATTCCCTCGATGCATTGTTCACTACTAAAATTCCAACCCCATTCCAAACCGACATAATCCAGAGGGGTAAGCATGAATGCTTTGGTTTGCAAATCCGAATAACCGAGCCAAGGACGCGAGCTTAATGCCAGAATAGCCTTCTGTTCTTTCACAGAAACTTGGAAAAGCTTTACAGGCTTTAAGCCAAGAAATCTCGTACGAGTGTCTGATAGTTCTCCGGTCACTTCGTCAAGCACTGTGCGGAGGTAAATACCCGAATACAGGCCAATATGCAGATAAAGTGTGGATCCACCAGATGTGGAATCAGACATCGCCATAATTGATAGTGCTGATGGTGCCGACGTAAGAGCTTGGACAGACTTATTTTCCAGTGTTGAATCTGGATCCAGGCTCAAAATACGGACAGTAGAGTCGTCGCAACCCACAGCGAGGAATGAACTTCTCGCACGTCCTTTTGGGACCTCACCCAAGCTAAGACATGTGACTGTGCCAGACATTTCTCGTTTCTCATCGTATTCTGCAAGTGAACCATCCGTATCCATCTCGAAGTAAACGATCTCACCGGAGCTTAATGCGACGGCAACTTGGCGCTCGTTTGTTGTAGCTGCAACGATCGATCTATGTTGCGGTGCTGGCCATTCGTTAACTCTTCTGTCAGCGTGGATATGGCGTATACCCTTCGGATGAACTTGGATTAAAGAGTCTTCTCCTAGTTGCTGGACAGCAAGAGTTGGTGCAGAAGATAGGAATCCAGTATCTGTTACTTCTTCTACTGTTTCGCCAATGCTGAGAACGAGCGTTCCATTAGAAAAAGACAAGATGATGTAAGCATCAAATTCGTCTTCACGTGTGAGTTTAGTAGTCCAAACGGCTGATGGTACGCTTGGTAGTTCAGATTCGACGATTTCAGATACCTCCAAGCCGTGCTTAAGGGTACGGAAGCTGCTTCTCGCGCCGGTGCCGCATATGGTGTATATTTGAGGAGCGTCGTCGTCTGTCAAGTTCGCGACCTTGCAATCCATCAGTGGGTTCAATGAATTGATACTTTCGACGAGGTTGACATTTTCATAAGGCCGTGGGCGAAAGTATGCAGGAGCGAGAGGTTCTGAAGGGTCTGCAGAGTACGAGTCACTGGTAAACTCGATTTCATCATCGTCATCGCCAAGCTTTTCAAATTGGTAGAAGTGGTGATTCCCCGTTTCGCTTGCGACAAAGAGGAAGCCACTTTTCAAAATGCACAAGCTCGAAGCAATGGGCACAGTGTCAAAGTACTTTAGTTTCAATCTTCTAACCTCCCCGGTGATCTGGCCATTGTCATCCTCCACCATGTCAATGGTAACCTTGAAAAGATCTCCATCTTCGGTCTGTAGCAAGAAGAAAAATGCACCACGCATTTTATGCATAACGCCAGCTGTTATGTAACGTTTTCGTTCTGGATTTTCTGTGGGCCCACTGCGACGCGGAATAGGTACACGGAAGGCATCCTGATTTGAGTGACGGTAGGTGATGTTGTCCTCTGCACACACAAGACAGCCACTAGGGCCGTCTGCACCGCCAGGAACTTGAAAGAGCATCGTCGCGGAGCGATCGACTGGGTCAGACCATTTCCTGACCACATGATTCAAACCTAGGTCGAGTTCGTAGTAAACGAGATGTTTTTCCAATTCTTCATAGGCCTGGCCCGTGGGATCCTGGTCTGCCTCAGCGTACTCAACTTCCAGAGCTGCAAATATCGGGTTGTCATACCCAACGTCAAGCGCCGCCAAGGCAAAAACCAATGTCTGGGGTTTATGGGCCTCCAACGGCGATGATATCGTTAACTCCGCCTGGGTATTTCTATTCAGAACATATACTAGCTTATTTTTCTCCACCGAAGCGATTAAGCACGCTCTGCCCTTCGGGTCGACTGCTAAATATTGTCCAGGAATAACGCGTCGAATTCCCGATTTCCCAAAAGTTTCAAGATGGATTCTATTGAACCGGTTCTGCGACGGCACGTATTCGATGATGGTGATCCGTCCGGAATCAGACCCAATGATGATGTAATCTAATAAGACACACTCAGCATAGCTCAATCAAAGCTGCCAGGCGACAAGGGACAGAGTTCAGCGGTGCGGCGTGGAATTGTGCGCAACAACAGGAGCTTGCGCTGCCCCAAGAGCTTGACGAATCACTAAAGTGGTCTTGATAAAGGGGATGGGTAAATAACATACCTTTACTACTGCCAGCTAGCCTAAAAGCCGCCAATGTCCGAATGATACCAAAAACATCTTGGGAAAAAAGAGATCTGATTTTTCCCTGTGTCGGGTCAGGGCGATGTATTGTGAGCTTTGAACCAGACGCAGTGACAATCTGCTGCTCCTTAGTCCCTGCAAACTGGCCCAGAATTGCTTGAGTAATTGCTGTAGGCGGTTGGATTGTCAGCGAGTACATGAACAACGACGAAGTGGTCGCCATTTTGAGACAATATTGGGCGTTGAGGACGCCTATGCCAGACGAGAACAGGCAGAAGATCTGGCACAGGCTAGAGGGGAGTCAATTGCATTGTCATAAGTATAGAAGAGACCTGACACGCGGTCAAGGCAGTTCCTAGCCACTGGTATAGGTGCAACGAAGCAGTGTAGAAAACAGACGGGGTGGTAATCGCACAAGAAAATTAGCTCTCTTGTGTTGTGTGGAGGTTGGTTGAGGTTGAATTTTTGCTAGGTTCGGTGTTGTTCCATGCGGCTCTAGTGGCGCAGGCGAGCTCCCTTTCGGCACTAGCGCCGATCCGCCATTATTACGTCCTGCAGCCATCAATCACGACCACGGCGGCTTTACCTCTGTTCAATGCTGCATCAGTACTCCGTACTGTTTCACTGTCAGACAAGCGGATATTGCTGTTGTAAGACCCCCTGTCTCTTTATATTACGATTTAACATCCTGAGTTCATCCTCTAGCTGGGTTGTACGTCTTTTGTTCATCCCTCTTCCTCGCCCTGCTCTTCCCCTCACTCCTCACTTGGCTCTGTAATCATGGCGGAGGATAGTTCTAGAGGCGAGGAATCGCCCATCACCTTCCACGTCAAATCTTCAAATGATATAAAATATACTTTGACGCTCGACCCGTCGACCACTATAGCCGATCTGAAAGCTAAACTAGCTGGCCCCGACTATGCTGATGTGCCAGCAGAACGACAACGCCTGATCTATTCTGGTCGGGTGCTGAAAGATGGCGATACCCTAGCTACTCACAACGTTAAGGATGGCCATGCTATTCACCTTGTTAGGAGCGCCGCGAGCAATCAGCGCCCAGCCCCCCCATCTCAAGGTGCCAGCGCTGCAGCGGGAGACCGAACCCGATCACCGGGCGTGGCAAACGTGCCAACCAACATCGCGGCCGGGACGGGAAATAATCCATTAGCGGGACTTACAGGCGCAAGATATGCTGGGTTTGCGCAGTTGCCAGGTGCTGGTATGTTTGGACCTGATGGTGGTGTAAGTGAAACAAACTCCGCTCCGTCCCTCTCCTTAACGGGTTCTTTGAAACCGAACCCTGACGTTTTCGCATAGATGGGCCCACCTCCAGATTCGGAGGAATTAATTAGCATGCTCGAAAATCCGCAATTCCAGTCTACGATGAATGAAGCGTTACAAAACCCTCAACTTCTTGACCTGATGATTCAGCAAAACCCGATGTTGCGGGAGATGGGCCCCGGGGTTCGCCAAATGATGCAATCGCCGGCATTTAGACGGATATTGACTGATCCAAATGCGATCCGCCAAATGACGCAGATGCAAAGGGCCATGGGCTTAGGTCGTGGCGGAGGGGCTGGAGTAGGTAGCGCATTTCCCGCTCCAGGTGTAACAAACACAACCCCCGAGGAGAATTTGGGTTCCCAGGATAATCAGAATCCATCTGCCCATGCGTCCAACGATGCCGCAAACATGTTCAACTTGTTTGGCATGCCGGGAGCTCAAGTTGGTGCTGCTAGCGGAAACCCATTCGCCGCCCTCTTCGGTGCAACTCCACCATTCGGCGCAACCACCCCTCCACAAGCACCAGCTGGCGACACTACAGGAACAGCTCGAGAGGGATCTACGGGAGCCACTCCAACACCAAACCCATTCGCATCATTATTTAACCCTGCCCTCTTCGGCCAACCTCAAGCCAACCCGAACAACCAAAACCAGCAGCAGCAGCAGCAGCAGCAACCTCAAAACCCCTCCAACCCTTTCGCAAACATTCAAAACAACCCATTCCTCCAGGACCCTAATTTGCTCTCTCAGATGCTACAAGCACTAGGTGGCGGCCAAAACGCGCCTTCTTCCAATGTAGACCCAGCCAACAATCCCCTTGCGGCTTTGTTCGGGGGTGGAGGTGTTGGCAGCCCAGCGCCCCCGGATACCCGGCCGCCGGAAGAAAGATATGCAGAGCAACTGAGACAACTGAATGATATGGGCTTTTACGAATTCGAGCGGAATATTGAGGCTTTGAGACGGACGGGCGGTAGCGTGCAGGGCGCGGTTGAATATTTACTCAGCCATCCATGAACATTCCTTCCTTCTTCTGCTTCACTATTGTGTCTTGCCTATATCCCCAGCAAAGCAAGAATTGCGGGGCCTGCCATTGTTCATTATACTTTATGTAATTTCGTTTCTTTTGTTTTCCGTCACGCTTCCAGCATGTTGGTGATGCCAACAAACCCGAGTTTTAAGAGAAAAATGAAAGTTTTTCCAACTATGATTCATTTGATGTTCTATTTTTCGTTCTACCCTTTTTTTTTTTTTTTTTTTTTTTTTTTTTTTTTTTTTTTTTTTTTTTTAAACTCTTGCTGTAATGCCCTGTCATCACCACCATCTTCATTTTCTTCCTTTACCATCGCTTTCCCTATGCTTTAGCCCTAAACCCCCCCCATCTCTGCTGCCCTAATCACTACATCTCGTACCGTTCCGTTCCGTTCCTTGTTCCTCTGCTCATACTGGTACCTGTAATCCCTCATTTTCCCATGTTTTTAGAAACCAGATTGTCAAGCTACGCAGGAATTGCTTTTTTCCATTTTAAAACCCTTCCTTAATCGCCGTACTTCAAGTAGATAAGTTTTGCTCTGTTTCTGATCCTGCTCCTGCTCCTACCCTCTTCATAGTGACCGGAGAAAGAGTACATATTTTGCTATCAAAAATAAAATATTATAAGAAATAGGAGAAAGGGAAAAAAAAAAAAAAAAAAAAAAAAAAAAAAAAAAAAAAAAAAAAGATAGATAAAAACATCCATAATCTTCTTCGCGTATATATGTATGTAGCTAGAACCCCTCTTCGGATTTTGGTCCCCACCCCACCCTAGCATCGGCGGCGAACAGAGCATCATTTCCTATCTCTCCTAAGACATATGTTCAGAAAACACAACACCGCCACCAACAGAACAGGCTGTGATTTGAAGATCCAGTATCCAGTCCCAGGAAAGGGAAAAACTTGTGAATTTTCTCAAAACGTCTAAATTGCTGCGTTCACGATATCCAGACAAGTGCAGGAAACTGAAATGACTGGAAACCAAATATACTGAGGGCATGTGTATAGTAAATTGACCTTAGTTAAAAACGGAGAAAAAAGGAGAAAAGGTTCAGAATATTGCTGCTGCTGCCGCAGTAAAAGTGTAGGAAGATTCAAGGTTATCTGTACTCCGTAATGTATTTATGATAATCTAGGCTGATGCAGGAGGAACTCCTACAAAAAGCTTAGCTATGGAACAATCCCAGATGGCGTGAGGTCAAATATAACAAACTAGTGTGTATGTACATGTACAGATGTACAGAGGTCGCTTTCAAAAGTTTTATTAGCGCTAAGAATTTAACTTGTAATCCAGTTACCAACATCCATTCTCTCTCCTAACCATAATTCTGAGGGGGTGAATGCCTGTGGTGCTTGAATAAACAGCTAACCGTGCCATGCTTACTCACTCTCTGTAGTGAGTGCGCCACAGCGTATGGAAAACCACACTGTAAAGAAAATATTTTGAATATAGTAATCTTCAAAAATTAATTAATAATCATCATCATATCTATCTATAACATAAAGATTATCTATATACTCATTAGAAGGTGTAGAATCCACTGTAAGTTGAGATTCTATAGAATTATCTTATTGTGGTTGAGTGACTGTAGATTTTATAGATTTGATTTCAATCAATTGAAGAGTCTTATTGAACATCTTTTTCATCTCATCTACTCTACAGATTGCAATCTTGCAATTGGCATTCTTAATAGTAAGGACTTCATCTACTTGCACCTGTCTGTAGAAGGATTTGATGATCTGATGTCTATTTACTTAATAATGATCTGCAAGTTCACTCTCATGATATATGTTCAATTTCACCTGAATCATGCTATTCTTGAAGATCTTGTTCAACTGCCTTGTCAAACCAGGTGTAAGGGTATTCTTCATATCTTCTAAGGTCTTGACTGCTGCATTGATTTGATGATGTAGTTTTGCAACCATCTCTGAGAAGATTAATTACAAGAAGGCAGTTGATAATTAATCTGCAGATGACAGAGTAAAGTGATTACATACATCATCATCATCATTATATATGTTGAGATTCAGAGCATTATTGTAGATTCATGGGTTTTTGCTTGACTTGTTTATAATCTGACAGGAATTTGATGAATCAATATATTCATATCTTGCTTACTATGAAAGATGCAGTCTCTGAATCTGTATAATACTATCTTAACATGTAGTTTGCAGCAGCTTCAATATACTTGATGATAAATGAGTAAAAATTAATGTTCAACTAATGAATTCATATCTTAATTATCTCTTTCTGACTGTCATTCAATACTTGATTCAGTGAAACTCTTATAGTTCTTGATTTCTTCTCATTAATTCTCTCATACAAGATAGCATATGAGACTTTGAATTCTCATAACAGAGATGTGATTTTTAATTTTGAATTGCTTTTATACATGTTAACAGCTCTTTGCAACTGCTTCTCAGTGTAATTAGAAGATTTAGACATGGTTATAATTAATGATGATTATTTGAAGATCTCTCTATATATTAAAGAAAAACCAACTTTTCCGTGCAAAAAACGCTGTAACGTGACCTCACGTGACATCACGTGCACCCCATCAAAATGTATGTGGGAAAGGTTGATTCTCCTATTATTATGAGAGCAGCTAGCTACATTATATAACATAAGAGATCACATGCAGGCGGAGCAATCGCTAGGGCAACGCCATCAAGGCGGCCGCCACTACATCCTCTCTCACATCACCGTGTGAGATCTTAACACTGTGATTATCTTCAAATGTTATATAGAAAAGTCTGTCATGCAGTCTCTGAGTCTCTTCAAATCATGCTACATACATTAATTTCAGGCATTCTGACCCTTTCCGCCTGTAAGACCTAATAAATCAAGGAATCACTGAAATGTAATAGTGTCTAAAGATTTGATCAATTCATCTACTATCATTTTCCTAGTTGAGATGTACTTCAAAGATATAACTCTCTCATTCAGCTGTGTATGTGAGAAATAAAATCACATATCAATATGCTTACTGCACACAGTCATCACTGTCACAGTGATCAGATTAATCAAACTCTTATTATCAGTATAAATCTTGATTGAGTTATTCATTATTATTATTATTATTATTCTTCAATTATAGATGTATGCAGTCAGAGACTATGACATCTACCTGAGA